AAATCAATTGTGACTTTCATAGCATCATCCTTAATTATTATTGCACAAATATTTATACTAATATCCGGTTTCACTCTGTTTACTATTATATAAATCCAAAGGTGTTCATCCGAGTGCACTAAAGAACTTTTATTTTATTTTTCTCAATTACTGGTTTACTTCTGAGGTCGATATTCATTACACAATTATTATTCTTATCATGGATGAACCTTTTCACTAGGTGTCCACTTCTTTTCTCTCTCCTTTCCCCTCTAAATAAATAATATTCTTAAGATTACGGAGTTTGTAATTAAGACAATAGCTTGTGTTACACTTAAATTAACTTCTCAGACCCGTTTTATCTTCACTACGCATATATGTCTCATACATATTGATATTTCATTATCCTTTTCACTCAATTGAGACTTTCATCGCATCACTCCAAACTATGACTGCACAAACATTTATTCTAGCTTCATATCTTACTACAATAATAAGTTGTTTTTTCTTAATTGTTTTTGTTACTAATTTGACGATGTATACATGGTCGTTTATTCATGTTCTGTGTTCACAAACACGCCTATTAAACTATTTGCGTATTTCACGTCTCCTTTATTTCTGTTCCCTTATTTTTACCATTTCCTTCTTTAAACTGAATTCAATATTCTTCCCAATTACACAGAACTGATTTATTATTATTCTATTATTATTACTATTTTTTTAAACATGGCAGATATAATGCTACATTATTGAAATCTGTGTCTTATTGCATTTTTTGAAGAAACCCGAAATGGTTTCTTCACAACACTTATGCACCCATAAGATGTTTGCGAATGATAATAACTGGAGATGCAGACTCATGTGCACTTCAGGCAGACTTAAATTGCATGGTTAACTGGTCTAAAGTGTGTCTACATGCACTTTGAGGATACAAAGGTTAATAGGTACGGCATAGGGGAAGCGCCACTACCCGCGGTCCGGTCTCATCCGTATCTAGGGATGACGGTGAGTCATGATCTTAAGACGATGGATCATTGCCATGAGGTCTCAGCTACGTGGTTTAGAACCCTCTGAGCTTTAAAATGGACATTCACTAAGTTATATACTACCATTTTCATCACAGTATATACAACCTTAGTGAGAACTACACTTGAGAACTGTGTTCATTCTGCAAGCCCCTGTTTAAAAAAAGACTCGGAAATTCTAGAAAAAGTACAGAGGGCAGCTACCCGTACAATTCCAGAACTCCGGGGTTTACCATACAAAGAGAGGCTTGAAAAGCTGGATCTCTTTACTCTGTCCTATCTTAGCCTAAGGAGAAATCTAATTTCGATGTATAGAATACTCAGAAATGATTTTGGACCTAACTTATTCTCTCTTTTTCTTCCCACTAGATCGGGGCATTTCAGAAGATATAGCAGGCGAGTCGAAAAGCTAAGAACGAACAAAGTACCCGTGGCATACAGGTTTCCAACCGAGTCATCAATACTTGAAACCTGCTCCCCCAAGCAGTGGTGTCCGCACCTTCAATTGACTAGTTCATAAGAAGACTGGACACTGACAAAAGCATATTAGAAAAGAAATAACACAGACTGTAGGCCACCTGTCCTTAATACACGAATCTGAATCTGATTTATATTGTGACAACTTCCCTCATCATACATCGAAATTTAGACCGATCCATTGAACCTTGAGACACTCCATTACTTAAATTAATACCCACCAGTCCAATGAATTGCTCCAATGCGATGCAAAATAGATTGTAATCTCTGAGCGTTTATATTAAAGGATGTGTCAAATACAATATCTGTCCAAGACGTGTGACACCAACAAGAAAAGGTCTAGCGCTTGGAGATGTGAGGAGATTATGAAAGCACGTAATGTATCTAAAAAATGATTAAAACTTGTTGTGGTGTACAAGGGGACTGTCATTTCTTAGAAATGATTTAGAGACCTAGGGTTTTTTGAGTTAACTTATTTTTTGGGTTTCTTGGTATTGACGAGCTCGGACATACGTATAAGAGGTCGAGAGTACGAAAAATAAGATCAACACGCATAACATACAGAGATTAAAACAAGAAACGAATTCGAAGATCGTTCTCAAACGTGCTGAGCAAAAAGGCTCACCAGTGAGCATTTTAGATACGAAAAAAATAGGGTATTGTTTTATGAGTAATACCTTGAGGACAAACCAGGATAAAATCGATAATTGCTGAAGGTCTTTTCATACACATTGTTCCCTCTGTCGTTTCGAAAGGAGCAAGGACAAAGATTCTAGCGGAATGGCATGAATTCATTTTATTTCATAAGTTCTCGTCAGCTGCTTAAAACCTGGGATTTTTAAAGTCGTAATTACATTGGTTTAAGTTACTTGTATGAGAGTTTTGGTTGGAAGCTATATGTATATATACTGTACGAATATGTCTTCAACAGAACTTCCAACCAAACCTTTCATGCAAGTGATTTAAACCCATTATGTAATTATGATTTTAAATATCACAGCCTTTAAGCAGCTGACGAGAACCTACGAAATGAAATGAATCCATGCGACTTTGCTAGAACCTTTGTTTTTGCTTTTTCCAACATTGCTGAGGGTTTTTATAAAGCAATTTACTTTAGGATTCATCGCTACAGATACAGATCACAGAGGACTAGTTGGTAATAGTGAAGCAATCATAAATTTGTTCATGATAGCGCAGAAACAGTTCACGTTTATAAATTTGAGAGAAGTCGCAAATTCACTTCAAAATTTATGCTCGTAGTGCAAAGTTTGTTTTTCTTAATCACACCTACAATTGGACAGCCTAGGGAGATGTACCTACCGAATCTAGTCTTGTGTGCCTTGTGGTTTAGATGAATTCAGTCAGTTGTTTTTCAAAAATGTATATGATGCATAATAGAGTCTGGCCTTATTGGTGGGGTTTGATATTGTTCGTAATACAAAACTTATGGTAAACCTCAGAAACCTCCCACTGCGAGAAATCTGAATGGTTTTAGTCTAATGATAAGTGTCAAGAATACGAGAATCCAATAATTATTGCATTGCGAAGTAAGTTACGTACCAGTTCATTGTTCCTGCTTCTATATGTCCTTTTTAAATTGCCCTCGTATCCGACACTGAACGTCCTAAAACTGAGCGCCACCTTAAAAGTATGATCTGTTCGTCCATAAGGTCTTTTTTATGAAGGGGGTTATTTTAACTTAATGTAATTGTTTTAAGCGGATATATGCCCATTCAGATTTGTGTAATTTCATTTATATAGTACACTAAGTAGCACGTTCTCGCCAAAACATTACTGTTTTACTTCATTTCAGGATTCTTCAGTGTTCCTTTGAGCTTCTACAGTAATTTCTGTTGACTACCTGAGTTTTTATTACATTATGCGATACCTCAATCCCCTGGTTTCGGGGGAGATTTTATGCGTTTTAGGAAAGCCATATTGGAAAATGTTGGAAAACCCCAAAGGTTCATATCTGGGATTTTACCTCGAAATATCCCCAGACTTTGGGGAAGGTACTCATTTTCATTTGGTTTTAGGGAAAGCCACAGAATTTCCCCGAAATCAGGAGACTGGGACTAGCCGTGAATTAGTTTCCATGATTATTATGCTCAGGAAAATGACTCAGTACCTGTAAAAAAAGAAACAGCCTTTTTAAGGGGTGTTGGTTCAGTAGTTAGGGCGTTCGACTTCCAGTCATTCGAACCTCATTTAATCTACTTCCGTTTGGACAACCAGGTGGTTCCATTAGCCTTCACACTTCTAGGGTAGCTCATATACAATTACTTGGTAATGAATATTAATTCTTTCTTAGGTTGAATATTCAATTTAAAGTCTACGTCCATTTGCGTCTTTGTTTTTTATCATATGAATTGAGCTTCACCAAATCCTAAGACACTTTCAGACTGTATACTTATATGTTCAGTACACTAGATTTACATGTCTCGGAAAGCAAAACAGAACGGATTTTAGATTGGATTCACAGTTTTGTGATTAAATTTTGTTGGGGATCAAACACCGTACACCAAAGACTACAATAAGTGAAAAACCTTTTCATATGTGAAAAATACTATGCCTAGTGAGAATTTTCCCTTGACTATCGGTTAGATAGCTAAATGATGCGCTTTCACTTTGCCCCATATTTATTTGTCCTTCCTTGATTGTCTTTCGTCCATTTCGTCTTAGTTTATCTCCCTTCTTGTTTTTTATGGTCCACCATCAATGTGGGTTTAAATTGATGTTCTAGGTTCTACATAATTTAAACCTCTAAATAGGTTCCGATATTACTTCCCATTGTAAGTTGCAAACTAGTTCCTCTGTGCTAAATGGTTTTCAAAGTTGATGTGATGGTATTTTCTCAACCTTTGCCCTCAAATACCCTGGTACGATCGAGAGTGGGCAGAGTCCGCTCTCTCTCTCTCTCTCTCGAAATGCTTCGACACGGCCACGCGTATATAGCCCCTGCCAGGGAAGTCCTACTCATTGCCTTCTCGTGGCGGGGGTGTTGTTTACGAAATTGAGAGGACAAAAAGTGAATGTCCGGCGTTTTAACCGGGTTGGTGGACACGGAGAGTCCATCTAGGGGAGTTGAAAAACCCTGATTCCAAACCACTAGTGCACATGAGCTCCAGTATCCTGAAGGAACAAATGGCGTATGAACCAATCGTTGGTCACCGGGCACCATGGGACTGCATCTCCTTACGATGCTCTACTATTTTGTGGATCAGACCTTCAGGTCGAAGACTCGGAATGTGGCCCCCTAAGAAAACCACCTGCTTCGGTTTGGACACCCGGGCAGTATCACAGCTCTCACACATATCAAATGGGATTTGGGTGGCGCGTATGTAACTGGTGCCTTATTGTGCCAGTATTTATGTGTTCAAATAAATAAATAAATTTTCTTTTAGCCTGGGGTATAAAGTTAAAATCCCTCGCCGGATTGCGAATTTGTGATCGTCAATTCTGATCTGAGATAATATAATGATATGTTTTCCCAGTACTGTGCGCACTAAGTCAAGATAAATGTCAGTTGATTATGCATCTAAGCTGTCCTACTATCCCAACAAAGGAGTTTGTGGTGTACCTGAAGTTCTCGATGACGATTCCCAACTAAATTTTAAACTCACTGAACTTGTTAATTTGGTACGTCGATCCACCTACATAGTTGTGCATACTGGAGCTGGTATTAGCACATCAGTGGGTATACCGGACTTTCGAGGTCCTGGTGGTAGGTTTAAACTTTACAATAGTTATTCATTGTAGGTGTCTGGACGTTGGAGAAAGTTGGAAAGAAGCCTAAACTTTCTATACCTTTTGAAAAAGTGATTCCATCACTAGCACATCGAGCTCTTGTTGAATTGGAAAAACATGGTACTTTGGATTTTTTGAAATCTTTCTTACGTTTCCAGATGTTGTCAAATTCTTAGTGACTCAAAATATAGATGGGTTGCACTTGAGATCTGGCTTTCCAAGAGACCGTTTGGCTATTCTTCATGGTGATATGTTTCTTGAATCATGTAGTGCTTGTGGAACTTTATACGCTCGATCAACACCTTCAGGATCAGTGGGTTTACGGCAGTCATCAGTTGTATGCACCTATTTGAAACCTAATAAACGGTGTTGCAGGTATGCTAACATATATTTGTGTAACATTAACAACAGAGGAAAGCTTCGTGATACTATTCTTGACTGGGAAGATGACCTACCACTCTTAGATTATAATCTTGCAATAGAACAGTCAAAGTTAGTCCTAAAATTTTAAAGTTGAGACTATGATTTTAAGAGTATTTTTCGGAGTTTATGTCATATCTTTTTTCGTTTCCAGAAAAGCAGATCTTCATATATGTATTGGCTCATCACTACAAATGTTCCCTGCTGCCGGTCTTCCTCTTACAAATGTTTGTAAGACTGTCAATAACAGAAGTACCAACAATTGTCCTTTCATTCAAAATGATTATAAAATTGAGAGTTCAAAGAATCTTGGATCAAAACTAGTAATTGTTAATCTGCAGCCAACAAAAATGGCTAAATATGCAACTTTAAATATAAATGCACCGGCTGACTTCGTAATGAAAGTATTATGTGAAAAATTAAATATATTGGTCCCATCCATATCTCCACTCAATGATAGTTTGTATTCACCAGTAATTGTTTTGAGGTAAGTGTATTCAAACTGCTTATTTATAACAATCTACCCAATGCTCAATTTATTCGAAGTTATCAAATCGAACCTTGGTAATGATACCTGCTTGTTTATATTGTCTTATACTTTTGGTCAAAATTTTCTGATTAATTTGTAACGAGCTGCTTTACACACTGCTTATCTTAACATTTTGAGGTGGCGAAAGTTTTTAGTTTAGTAGAATGATTTTGTTGAAATTGCTTTCTGTGAGCAGAGGGGTTTAATTGCGGAACATTTGTTATCTTCCTAGGCAAAATCACAAACTTAAGATGGAAATAAGCTATGAGAATTTCCCCACAAGTGACTAGCAGGTTATTCTGTTGGTTATGAGTTTGATTAGCTATTGTTAACACTGGTCCTCCCATTATCAGCCCGTTTGTCTTGATTGTCTTCCCTCTTGATCTGATTCTTGACCTTAAATTTGTTTATGATTTTTCTGGTTGGACGCTGAATTCGGTTAGTGAAATAGTATCATTGGGTCACAAAGTGAAGCTCAAAGCCGAGTACATTAATCTGATGATAGTAAGTCACATTGTAAATTCGAATGCAGTAATTAAATAATTAGATTGTGAAATAAGTCTGATGGAAGCTCTTTGTCTTTTGTTTGTCTACAGAATGTCAAAGTGGAAATGTGATTACATGACTTAGTGACAAGCAAAACAATGAATTCAAGTTATATGTCTCTCGTTTCAAACTGAAAATCTTTATATCTTCATTTCGAACTTGATGAATCCCTTTAAAAATCTAGACGGACCTTTTGATTTTATTCTTGGATAAGTAGTAATATAACTAATGTTTTGAAGCAATGTTCCGTAAAAGATGGTTATATTTGCACGTAACCAAGTATTATTTTTAACTATTGTTGTTAATTAAAAATGTTTGTGATTTGGTATACAAAATATTGAATGTCCATAAAGTTTTCTAAATATTTCTTTCAATCTTTTTTCTCAAGGTCAATGCATTCCAATTTAAAAGCACAATGTCCATGGCGTATTCTCCCTCATCCAACCAATAAGCATTCACTTCTCATTGTTCAAACTAGTAGTCAGTGCATGGAACTAAAAACAAAAAAGGATGATGAAACGAGCTGTTTTCAGTCTGAAATTGTTCCAAACGAGTCACGCAGTACTGTTTCATTTCAGTTGTCTAAATTAGAATCAACGTCTTGATCATTTTTTCTCTGCTGATGTTTGTCTTTGAAGTTCAATAAACGATAACCTATTTTCCCTAGTTTTTTTCTGTTATTGAATATCTCATTTTCTTATTGGGAAACTGTAACGTAAACTCATCCAAATTATCTTCTCTATTTTATACTTCCAGCTATCCATGACTTCCCATCTTCGTGGTTGGGTTATCTACATACTGCTTTTATTTTTACGGTTTCTGTTTGTGTTCGATTTGCAGTCGGGTTATTTACATCCAGATGAGTATTTTCAGGGGATTGAAGTTGCAGCGGGTGACATTTATAATCTGGACGTATTAAGGACATGGGAATTTCAATTAGATGATAAAGGTCCTCTTAGATCTGTAGCTGGAATGTCACCTTTTGTACATATCCCGATTCAGGCTGCCAAATGGATTCATGGTGGAATTGATTATAAAAGTAATGTTTCTGTGATTTGAGGTTTGTCGCTCATTTTACACACATTTTATCTGAGTCCCAGGTATACTGTTGAAAAATATGGGACTACGGTTAAATAGAACAACCTATCAGAGGTACGGAGGTTATGTTCTTTCTGCCAAAATCAAGTTGATTTGTGTACTACATTCTTTTTACATGTTTTTTATACCATAAAGTTATTTTCATTGCTATTACTATTATGCATGTGTGAACCAGTAGCTAAGGCGTCCTATTTCCGTCCAGGTTCGAACTCCCCTTCATCTACGGATAGGACGACTAGTAGTTCTACTAACCCTTACACTTAGCGTTCGACTTAAAGTACGTAAATCTGCACTTGGTAAACGAGTTAATAATCATTATATATCTTAGTTGATAACACATCTAGTTGAAAAACTAGTAAATATTCGTCTTATAACTCTTGATTAGCCTTTGCTTCATATCTTGACATTGGCTAGCTGCTGTCTGTCAAGTTTCGTTGCTCGTTCAAGTTTTTAATAAATGAGAGTTAGCTAGTGTTTAGGATTGAGTCGGTACATAAACATGGTTATCATGCCCTTATAAAGTACACGATAGTGTTTGTGTGTATTATTTTTAATCATCTTGAAAATATCCCTAGTATTTCAATTTATTTATTTTTTAGCTGAAGAAACTGACTTCAATGGATCTGATATGTTAAATAGAATTCTGTTTCCCTCCCGGTTAGTCACTGTACTTGGTTCATATTTAGTCGATCTTTTTATATTACGCTGTTGCATACGTGTTGATCATCATCAAGTTTCAGCAAAGCAGACTAATATTCAAAAAATATTACATGCTGTACAATATCATTCTGTACCAACAGCTTTATTACTTTATGCATCATGCGCATTCGGTGGGAGTTTATGGTCTACACGTACAATTGTCAATGTATGGGAATCAATTTATGTTTCTTTATTTGGCCTACTGTTCTTGGAAGTTTTGGATCGTTTAGAGCAATCATCTGATCCTACTGTGAATAAACAATCCTTAATTCTTTTCATGTGTATTCAGTCTGCTGTTGTTGTGTGGGGTACATTTTTGCGACCTACTTATATTTTGTTCATTCTTCCATTAGGAATTATCGAATTAGCATTCATCTTAGTCAAGTTTAAGTACATTTCCATGATTCTTTGTTTACCATCTGTTCTACTTGTTTTTTTCAATACATTCATTTGTGTAATAATAGATACATTATACTTTCACAATGTGAGTTTATTACAAGCTTTCCAGGTCGATTTTTCACGATTTAAGTTGATATATACACCTTACCGGTTTTTAACTTATAACTCCAACTCATACCATGTTTCTTCCCATGGCTTACATTCTCGATTTACACACTTCCTTATTAATTGGCCTTTAATATTTGGACCTATTTTTACATTTCGTTTATTCACTCAACCTTTACAACGTCGTTCAATTTCATCGTGTATTGCTTGGATCAGTGTGGTATTCCCTACATTTGTTTTGTCTATTATACCTCATCAAGAAGCACGTTTTCTTATCCCATGCCTACCGTGTGCTTGTTTCGTTGTTGGTCAGAGTGTTGATGCTAAAGTCAGACATACAAAACGAAAAGACGTTTCATGTACCTGTATAAGTATTATTGTACTATGGATATTTCATCAGTTTATCTTGATTTTATTTTATGGGTACTTACACCAAGCTGGGCTATTTTCTTATATGAGAACCATTCCAAGTAATGTAACTGGATGCGTCACTCATGTATTCTTCAGAACTTACATGCCACCTCGTTTTTTGTTAAATATACCTTTAGAAAAATCTTCACATTATCCATCACAGTCTTGCAAATCACTTATCGATTTAGGAGGATCTAATGTGACAATTTTAAACAATACAATAAACCATCTTAAAACATATCAAAATTTCTCAGGTATGCTCAAATTGGTGAGTCCAGCTGTTTTTGCAATCCTGATTAGAGATTTATTTTTCATCACTGTATTTTTTTTTAGAGTAAAACAATACTATATAATTTACTCTATGAATTAAACATTAAGGAGACTAAAATACTAGGAAATTACTCTTACCCACCAAGTAATGCATCTTTAGTTTGAACCTTATTCAGGTAGCCATTGGCTAATGAAACCGAAAATATCATGAACCCGTTTTAAGTTTTGAGCAATCGTGTTTAAATAAATTTACTGTTTCTAAAGATCTGAATATTTTTTGGAAAAGAAACCCAAGAGAAATTTTATCTTAACTACTTGTTTTTTTATTAAGTGGAACTACTGAAAATATTTAGTTATACCATAATGACTTTTTGGGTTGGTGATATCTGGGGGTCTATTCAACTGGAAGATAATTTCCATGAGCTGATATTTATTGAAGAACTGTTAGACCGTGAGACCCTGGACGCCTGTTTTGTCCCGATTGGAAGCTCCTCAGCAGTATGAGTCTATAGCACTTTTTGGAGTGAAAGCCAGAACTTTTAACATTTGATTACCACTTGTGACTTGTGTTTTAAACATTTGACATAATTCTTGTTCATTGGGTACTACTTCTAGCCGTAATAAAATCGACGCGACTCAAGGCTTAGCACATAAATCTACACTAAGTTTGGTAATAAGGTTAACTTTTCATTTGCATTAGTATCACTTTTTTTAATGCTCTGTTTTTTTTGCTTAAGGGTATTTAATTAAACTGTTTAACTTGCTACGGAATAAATAGTTCTTTCCATAAATTTTTATAGTGTAACAAAAAGGAGTTAATCTGAAAAATGTTGTGTTTTCGCCATATACATTACGAACAATCTAGCCACACTTGTCAAACTATTACAATTGAAAAACTAAAAATCAAACAAGATTACTGTAAATATATGGTGGTAAGAGAGTAAGAATTTAATGTAATATGAAATAAATATGTTGTCATCCTGGATTATGGTTTCCTTTTCTTTCCATTTGCCTCTTCATATTTACTGACTATTATTTAATTGTCCTTTATTTGTCTTCCATATATAAACGCCTTGACATATGTGACCAGATTGTTCGAAATGCGTAACTCAAATGCATTTCGGTTTTCATATCAACTCCATCTCATTTGATTTAGTATTCAAGGTTTCGTGTTCAGTGTATCAGTAAACTTTGAGTTATCCATAGTGATTAAGAAAGAGTAAAAGAGCGAACGATCGTCTTCAATATCTTCTTCATTCGGTTGTACAGTTATAAATCCAAAATTATCATGTTTAAATAGACAAAATATTCGTATTGGACAATTGTGTTTTCATAATGATCAGTGATTTCTCTCCGCACATTTAGGCGTATCCTGGATCCATACAACCGTTGGAAAATTTACTTCTATCCTCTTGGGGTAATGTCGTTATGTGTGAACAGTTCTTCCCACATTTATCAATGGAGAACCCGCCATCCATTCGTCATCCTTTTGTTTACGAAAACTGGAAATCTCAATTATCATTACACGTACTAACGATCAAAGTTTAACTAAAATATATTTTCATCTAAATTTTTCTATGTGCTAATGTACTTTTTACATTCGTTTTTTCCATAAATCTCTTCGTATACCATTCTTTTGTTCTGATTTTAAACTTTGGTGTACATTAATTTCCAGAGTTGTTTGCTTTTAGTGTATTTGGATGATGACACTTATCAGTGGGAAACCAACAATTTGTTAGTCTGCCTGGCCATGCACTTAAAATGCCATAAATCCAATACGGGTTTTCAGTCAATCAGTCAGTTAAGATCAGCATAGAGCCTGGCACATATTTATATTTGTTCAAGTTGCCCTGCCACATTTGCACAGCGAAATGAATTTAAGAAGATAAACAGTAAAGAAATCGAAATAATGTTCTAGCAGTGACTCTGCTGAAATCAGAAATCCTTCCAGAACTTACATACTTGAAGTGATTGCTAATAAAACTGATCAATATAACTTTAACTAAGTGATATTACTAGTGTTATTGGACTAAGTTACTTTAATACATATCTAGTAGCTAGAAAAATGTGCTGTGTTTAGACAGATTGTCCTGTTTTTTTTTCAAATATTAACTTATTACATCAGACCGAATATTATTATTATTATTATTATTATTATTATTATTAATACTACTACTACTACTATTATCACTACTACTACTACTACTATTATTATTATTATTATTATTATTATTATTATTATTATTATTATTATTATTATTATTAGTCCAAATCCACAGCATTTTCGGATACTGTTATGATATACGATCACTGATATTCCATCTGATTGATGTATATTGGATGGGATCAATTAGAGGCAATCACCGCGTTGTTTTTTGGTAGTGGCGTTTAATTTCCGGAATTACTATGCTGAAGGTATAAAATAATGGCAATATAGCGGTGTGTGTGTCTTTAATGAATGTGTGATTACTGTTTATTTCTGCTTCTGCGTGAGTATTGAAAAATTGTCAATTCTTACTTATTTTTATTTCTACTTGTGTGATCCCTTTCAAGGAGTCCAATACCTTTGGAATGACGATTGATAAACATACTATATTCGAAACATCTAATCCCCTAACAGAATCTGTTAAACATTTACCAGGGATTACTTATGAAAGTCGAGTACTTGGTCATTTTCAAAATCCTGAGTTGTTTCATTCACCTGCCTCACTACCTAAACTGACTCCATCCCCAGACGTTAAGAATAGATCTCATTTATCCAGTATAAACAATAAACCATTGGTTCTGAATATTTCTAATCCCAGATTTCCACCAATAAATTCATCCAAATCGACGACCACCAATGATTTTAGCGGATTATGGGTGAGTTGTTGATTCTGTTACTATGACATTTATTATATATTGCATTTATACTTTAGAACTGGCTAGAAGTGCAACTGTAAGATAAAAGTGCATCCCGGTTTCCGTGACAATCTCCAAAAATGACTACTTTAGTCATTGATTGGTTCTGATCCAACCCATGTACTTTTCAATCACATACCTGTTATTTAGAGGACTCCATTAGGAATTCTATCTCTAAATAACTCAGGTCGATAGAGATTATCTATATTGTTCCTGTAAAGTGTTAATTAAAACTAAAGTACAGCAGTTCAAAAGAATTCATCTTTCAGAAGGCTGGCGTAGTTGATTTTCCATTCATCTCAATGGTGATTGCGAATATTCCAAGAAACTTAGTTTTCAGAGCTGGATAACCTACTTTTATTTATTTCTGAGATTCAATTATTCATTGATGACATCTGTTCTTGAGAAATCTGGGGGCATGAGTTATATGCTATTGTTTATTGGATTTAATAGTTAAATTTACTTAATAACAGGCTCAAAGAACCTTACTAGTAAGCATTCATATTTCGACCTATACATTATCTGAACGCGCTATGACAATTGAAAATATAGGTAGTATGATTTCAAATCTAAAAATGACATGGATGCATCAATTCTTCACCTTCATACTTCGGACATTCCACCACTCATTATAGTCCCCCTTCCTGACTCCTACTTTTGTTTATTTTAGTATTTTTTATTGTAGATTTCGTCTTTTTATACCGTTACAAAATATGGTTGTTTGATTAAATAATTTCATTCGTTAGCATTTGTACCTATCTATCTTTATTTCAAATCTGATACAGGAAATGATTAGTCAACCACATGTTTCAAGACTTTGACTAAAGATTGCAATATGACAGCAGAATTCAGTGGTTTCTATCCATCTAAAATAAATCCTTTTTGATCACCAACTTAGTAGAGCGTAATTTATAATACACAAAAAATGAAATCATTTCATCGTAAGGTATTACCTCAACTTTATACGTAGCATAAAAACACATCAGGAACTATCGAGAAGTACATCTGACCAGCATAATTTCCGAAATCTCCAAACTAATAAACGTTTACAAATTTTCACTTGTTTCGGTCTACTGACTTAAACGAATGAATCATAATCTATCCCACCTAGGTAACAGTTTTATGTGGTGATTGTTCTCATCCGAAACTTAGGTATACTTTCTAAGTGGGTTTCATCTTCACGCTTTCCAAATATAGTCGTCTCGTTGTTTGACGACTATATTTATCTTGAAATCTGTCAGACATATTTGGGGCTATTTTGCGAAGTAGTGTGGCACCGCATGAGAATAAATTTACGAGCGTTGGCAGAGTTCACTTCTTTGAGGTTAATTTTTTTATAAGCCTGATGTGCTGAGCAATGACGTCTTAGGATTCAGTCATCTTCTGCGGTCAGAGACTGAACTTATATACTTATTTACGCCTGTTACTCCCAATGGAGCATAGGCCATCGACCAGCATTCTCAAACCCACTCTGTCCTGGGCCTTCCCTTCTAGTTCTATCCAACTGTAGTTCATTCTTCTCATGTCTATCTCCATTTCCCGGCGTAATATGTTCTTTAGTCTTCCTCTCTCCCTTTGGTCTTGAGGATCCCATGTGTGTCCTATCTACTTCCAGCGCTTCTTTCTGATTTCTTCCTCCGCTGGGATCTGGTTTGTTCTCTCCCACGGTAGGTTGTTGCTAATAGTGTCCGGCCAACAGATCCGAAGTATTTTACGTAGACAACTGTTAATAAACACCTGTATCTTCTGGATGATGGCTTTCGTAGTTCTCCAGGTTTCTGCCCCATATAGTAGAACTGTCTTGACATTTGTATTGAAAATTCTGACCTTGGTGTTGGTTGACAGTTGCTTTGAGTTCCAGATGTTCTTCAGTTGTAAATATGCTGCTCTTGCTTTGCCGATCCGCGCCCTCACATCTACATCAGATCCACCATGTTCATCAATGATTCTGCCCAAATATGTAAAAGTTTTTACATCTTCCAAATCTTCTCCATCAATTGTGATTGGATTGGTGCATGCTGTGTTGTATCGGAGATTCCTGCTTTTCCCTTTGTGGATATTGAGACTTACTGCTGCTGAGGCTGCTGCCACACTGTTCGTCCTCTCCTGCATTTGTTGTTGCGTTTGGGATAGAAGGGCCAGATCATCTGCGAAGTCTAGATCGTCCAACTGCATCCTAGATGTCCATTGTATCCCGTGTTTCCCTTCAGATGTTGACGTCTTCATGATCCGGTTGATCACTAGGAGAAAGAGAAAGGGTGAGAGTAAGCAACCTTGCCTGACACCGGTCTTTACCTCGAACGAGTCTATGACCTGTCCTCCATGCACAATTTTGCAGTGTAATCCATCATAGGAATTTTGATATTGACTATCTTCTGAGGCACGCCGTAGTGTCGAAGAAGCTTTCATAGTGTTGTTCTGTCCACGCTATCGAATGATTTCTCTTAGTCAATGAAGTTGATGTAGAGTGATGAATTTCATTCAATTGATTGTTCCACAATGATCCGTAGAGTTGCGATTTGGTCTGTACACGATCTATCCTTACGGAATCCTGCCTGTTGGTCTCGAAGTTGGGCGACTGAAGTAGATGTAACGTAATGTTATTATGTTAGTATTGTCTATATGTTAGGACATAACTTCCTTCTATGGATAATTTTATCAAGTATGTTCATTTTCATAGTTGAATTTATGAGTTAATCTAAGCTAGACCACCATTGAAAGCCTGAGAGCACTGGACGGTCGTTTCGTCTGGAGGTTAAGCATTCATGCGCGAGATTGGAGGTCCTGAGTTTGAGTCCCGCGTGACGGATCGTGAATGAGCACTTCTGAGGAGTCCAATACTAAGACAAAACGGCCGTCCCGTGCTTTCAGGTTTCCAATGGTGGTCTAGCTTAGATGGACTCATGAATTCAATTATTAAAATTACCACAATCTCCGCAAATCCTCATTATGTTCATTTTGTTTTCTAGTTTCTGATTGTCTCTTAAAAATTCATTAACGTCACTTCATTACTTAACAGTATGTCTTAGCGAAATTCAAGGAGCCTGTTTATATAGTCACAGGTTTTAATGGATATGTATAACGACAGACTTGATATTGTATTTACGTTGTACGTGTTAATTTTTATCAAAACAGGTGTAGTGTGTTCAAAATGTAGACTTTGATGACTGGATTCTCACCCACTGGGTCCAGTGTAATGTGGTGTGAGTTTTGGTAATCTTAGTTTTAACTCATCGAGTCTTACGATGTGTACTATTTCTTGGGTGTGGAAGTATTTTTGGTTTCTTGGCTACACACATCCGACCCTCGTTAGTATTTTCAAATTGCTACGTCAAAAGTCTTTGGTAGTTTAAATTGAAAAACTTGATTTCTTTTCTTTTCTTGTTGCTTTAATATAGCCGCCAAGTATCTCACTGTCCAACCGTATTATCAACAAAAATAATGATGGTTCACTGATATTACAAAATGATAGTTTCATTCCCAAAGCACTGTCTGACCAACAAGATTTTCGCATTCCAACTAGCATAATCAATGATCAAGTAGTTGTTCGAAACCCCTCATCGATCTGTCTTGCGGCAAATAATATTTCTGTAACCATTTCACCTGCCTTACCAAACCTCATAACTTCGTCTGCATTTTGTTATCCAACACGTTTCATTCCAGAAAATGTAAAAACAACTGTATCAAATCGAGTAAGCTATTGTTTCACTCCTTACTTTCATCTATTCGATTGTCACCTATTTTACTTCGATTACATGATCACTGATGTAGTTCAATAAACATTATGATCAAGTTGTTTTGGCACCATATTTGTTTCTATTGATTTTTGAATGTAGTTTTCAGTACGTTTTACTTTAATATACCAGGTATTGATTTTTTAATTCTTCGCACACCGATAAATGTAAGGTTGCCGAGCCTGTTTGCTTTACCTGAGAGATAGTGCTTTCACTTGTTTTATTTGTAGAAAGTCCTATCATTGCCTTATAGATTTCAAACACTGTTACTTCTTGAAGGTTCTGTTGTTTAGTTTATCTTTTATTGACAATGACTTTGTTCGACGTTGCTGCGTTTAAATCTTATCAGTTATCTATAACATCATCTACACTTTGAATAAAACCTGCTTCGTCAAAATTACAATCTGTTTCGCTTTCTTCCTCTATCATACTCATAACATCTGTGTTCAGTCAGTGGTCTTGAGTGCTGTTAGAGGTATGAGGGCGGTTATCACTTCCTGGTTGCCCACACTGTGGAAGGGTTCTTCTGGAGGTGCCTGAAGAGGAAATTGAATTAGAGGTGGTCTTAGTGACCTGAGAGCGTGACCGCAGTGCCCAAGGGACAACTGCTTGAGGTCGGTCACACACGACATTTTTATGGGTAATTTTTGTGTTAGCTCCGTACTTGTTGAGACCTTACCGCCGGAGACGGATATCCGTGGGATAAGGCGAGGTGTGCATTTTTAGGGTCGACCTTTCCTAACCCCACCCCTCCTTGTGGGAAGACAGCATCGCTGCAATGCTGGTTGTCTGAAGGAAACACCTTACTGCTGTCACACCTCTGTACAGTCAGCAGTACGACTTCGCCTTCAGACCTTAGGTTTGTTGCTTTTAGTCTTACCGCTCTTCAACCGACCTGTCTGACATGGTAGGACCTTGAGGAACAGTTGTTCCAGCCAGTATAGCTCGGTTGCTTCATCACGATAGGCAAGTCCGACCACCACGTCAAGGTAGCAACAACGGTCGGGACATCTGTGTTATTCATTTAGGTTGTCTGTTTTGTAGAACTGAGTTATTTGTACTTATTAATCACTAAACAAAAGCAGATATGATAAGCATCTACGAATAAAACAATGAGAATATAAGACATAAGTAAAGGGGGGAATGCAGTAATAATAATAATAATAATAATAATAATAATAATAATAATAATAATAATAATAATAGGAGCTTAAACAGGAGCTTAAACCAAAACTATGCGTACAAAAGAAGTACGTCTTATCGTTATCGTTACCTTGGCCTTAATTATTCTGATTATCCTATTTACTACAGTCGTTTATTACTGATCTGATTTCTGTGGTTATAAATTTAAGGATTCAATACTTATATTTGTCAGTATACATGATATATTCAGTCAACATATTTGGTGTACTAGACCTGATATCGGTATGGGTCAGATAAACTCATTTGATTTAGTTTATTTTTTAAATCATTCGTGTATATCGAGCTCCGTAACAAACTAAACTTACACGAATTAGGTTTATGGATTTGGTTGTAGTTTATTTTTATATGTTTTGGTGTTCAGTTAGTGAAATCAGTGTTTTGTGATCACTAAGTAAATTCCTACCTAGACAGGCGTCCCCACTTTCTTTCTTCTATGGTGAAGAGTCTTGTATCGATCATTTCCAAGCAATCACAGACTATTTATCAACAATATGGTTTCTTTATCACCTTAAATGGAGCACAAAATGAAGGTTTAAGCGGCATAACATGAATTCTTTTACTTCATGAGATCCTCGTCAGCTGCTTAGAGCTTGTAATATTAAAATCCTAATTACAAAATTGTTTGGAAATTATTACACAACTGTACTTAGTTGAAAGTTGCTTTGAACACACATCAGCATGGTATCGTGTTGTATGTCCTTGTTATACTAAGTGATGATTATGATTTCTAAGTATTACAGGTTGTAGGCAACTGACGAGAACCTAACGAATTGAAATTAATTCATGTTATTCTACATAAATATTTGTATTTGTCAATGATAAATATGATACACTACGTTTTTCATAACATTTAGTAGTGCAGGATTTCGAAAGGGTTGTTGCTGTTTATTTTACTTTCTATCTTTCAATAGTCACTTCATGCGCTAACAAAATAGTGACTCGAAATAATCCTACTGTGTGTTATAATGGTATAACCATACATCAATGTTTTGCACTGTTCTGTATCATTTTTTACCAGACATTCTGTTTTGTCAGTTCGAGGAATGTGGCAAAACTACCGAGTGTGTGCGTTCATTCAACATTAATAAATCAAGAAATTCACTCTAGTGTTGCAGCTCCAGGTTAGCAATAATTGTTTATTTTGATCATTTTATTCTATTTTATTATTTAATTTGTCTAATTTCCTTACGGTTAGTGTGGAAATGGGACGCAACTGGGACGAAATGATAGCTTCATAGTAGGTAGTACAATAGGAAATTTCTCTTCAGATACAGATCACCAGATTGTATCCCACCTAGACGTAAATGCCTTTTAGAAGATCATTTCCTAAATAGATATATCTACTACTTTCATTACCACTAGAGTTGACTAAAAGTGCAAAATGGATGTGTTGTGTTTATAAACTAGCCATTTTTTAACTGGGGATATTATTCAATATCAATTGAATGTGATATATTATCATCGACTATCTATGGTAATTGTAATATGCTCAGATTTATAATGTATAGGAGCTAACCATTTAATAAAAATAAATGTTTGACCCACACAGATTGAAAAGTTTGCCGTCATTTAAATGTTTTTAATGTTCTTCCCTAAAATGTCTTGCTTTCAGCCACTGTGGATTATAACAGTTTTCTATATCTAAAAGGATAACTTTGTCTTTAGTGTAATACTACATGGAGTTGTTCGTAGTAGTTTTAACATTATTTGTTAACGTTTTGTCATTCCAATAAACCCAGTGAAAAGCGAGTGGTTTATGAGGTTTTCTCCAAAAATGATAAACTATGAATCGCTTAGTAGTTCTTTCCCAGATCTCCCCATTTATCAGTCGAGAAATCACTACATAATAAGCTACGTAATTGACTTTGTAACCGTAATCCTCAAACAGAACTGCATACTTTGATTATTTTTCATGCATTAAATTTGGTATGATGAAGTCTCGCCAGGCAGTCAAAATAATCATGGGTTGCGGAAAGGTACAGGCGTTTAAATACTGTTTTGTGACGGTGTGTTTGATACCTTGTTTAGGCGACTAATTAAAGTATTCGCAGTTCGAGTTTGAACCCCCTAACGGTTCGTAGCCAAATATTTTTTGTGAAGGCTAGTACTCAAGACTGAAGTGGGAGGATAGAACGTTTCGGTTTTACCATACACGTCATTGTTAGTTGTTTCGTTTCACACATATGTTCTTTCCATTTGTCAACTGTAGATGTAAGTTACTGTGGTGCAATACCTTATCCTCGTTCCCAACCGCCCAGAAAATCGGGGGATGTTTCACAAGTTGTAAGTTTTCTGCTTATTCTGCCTTTAAATATTTTTTTTTCTTGGTCGACTATATTGTAGTGTTATTTATGCCAGATGCTGTAAAACCTTAATGTTATCATTTTTTATTCAAGCAACTACACGATTTTATTTCTGTAACCAACGTTCCTAACCTAGAGGTTAGTAAGTGTTCCATCTAATAAAACTTTAATATTTGACTAGAACTATCACGTCAAGGTGGCAGATATCGGTGGGTATTCGATATTCAAACAAACTCAAAGCTGTCAGTTTCAGTCATATGCATCCAACTTGTGTCTTTCCCTAGATCATGAGCCCTAGTATTCCTTCATTCATAATCCCTTTTCATTATATCATTTCGGTTCATATTCCAAATGCTTAATCTTTCCTATTACCGTTACTACTACGTTGTTTTGGTTCCACCATTTATCTTATTAGTTTTATCTGGTTGTGCTAATTCAGTATGGCAACTTGGGCTAATGTGGCTTTGTCCCCGGGTCCACATTGATTATGAATGTCTAGCTAACATTATAAATGCCAATGGTCTTATCAGATTGCATCCATCAGAACCTCTTGGGTTCGTTTTTTATCACTAAAAGAGATACAGAGAAGCATTTTATCGGAACACTCGTGACCAGGTTTGGGTTTACCTTGTGTTATTATCTATTGTAGCTACATCAAGTTGTTTTAACCTCGACTGTCTATTCTCTTAGATATACTACTAACGACTGCACTAACTTCGTCTGGCTTTTTAGTTGTTTATCTGTTAACCAGATAAATCACTACCCGGGAGTATTTTATCGATACAATCCTGTTTGTTAGCTGTACTAAGTCCCGTCTCCGGAAACCCCTAGATCAACAACGTGAAAGTTTACATCCCTTTTTCGCCTAGTGGCTGTCGAAGTGTCATCGCAGGTACAGACTTTGGTTGTTAGGTATTTATTGAACTACACCATTTGTGGAGCAGTCAGGAAACTAATGGGAACAAATCTTAAATAGCATATGTACTACACAGTTCTTGTAGCATCACTAACTTTGGAGAGAAATCCTATTTATAGGTGAATCACAAGAAAGAAATTTCATCCTGATTGTAACTAGGTCACAGGTTCAAATTCTGCCAGACATTTCAATTTGATGATTTGTCTATAGATAAAATTTATATACAATAGTTTCCTTGTCTAATAGCAATTAGCTTCGTTATTAAAAGCGTCTTTAGATTTTTTAAAATTTCTCTAACCCCCTTAATATTATGTTTTTGAGGATGTTGCTGACTTAGTAAATGAATGATTTAAATTTCCAAAGTTGTTGAACTGGGGTTGAGTTGGATTTTGTCAACCTTTTTAGAAATTTTACTATCTAGCTATTTTCTTTGGTTTTGTTTTAGCCTGTCAGTACACTATCTTCTTTTGTCAACGAAACCAATCATTTAGAAGAATCCTGTCTTGATATAGCTAGTAAGTTGAGATTTGTTAATTGACTTCTAATTATGCGAAATATATGTCGATGTTAAGGTGTTGTAAGTGGGTTATGTCGCGTACATTTATTTGATAATTTATTTTATCGAAAACCATTCCAATCATGTATAATAGTATACCCAATAAAAATAATTTAAATAACTGTTAATGAGTGGAAAATCAACACTCAAGTAGTCGCCTTATCATGGAAAACAGTTATTATTTTCAACAGGTAAGGCACATTTAGACATTGTTCCTATGTCACAGTCCACATGCGATAAGTTGTGCTATGGACACGTCTATATTGTCTTCCTAGCCTGTTATAGTAACTACAATCATTTCTACACGTCAACTGCAACACTAGAGAGAAAGAAAGCACGAATTGCGAGTAAGAGCCTTATTTCAAGGTTATTTTATGTAAAGGAAAACGAGGGTATTTATAGTTACATACAACCTTGCGCTCTGAAAATTCCCTAAAGCATACTAAATACAGTAGCAGTATCAGTCATTATTTCAATCAAAACAGTGATACATAATTCTGCATTTTTAGATATTTCTGTGAAGCTTTTATTCAGCGCTGATTGGACGAAACACTTCTTGGAGTTTCTAGGCCTCTAGAGATTTTGACGACGGATATTTTAGAACTTCCCCAACAATATGTATAGTGTAATATAAGCCTATCATGTTCTTTTCATCGTCCCCACTTTTTAATAACTCAATTTCTTTTTTGAAAGGAAGGAAGCCATTTCAAAACACATCCAGAATGTAACGTCGAATAAAATGTATGTTATGCGTGATTTTAAACTTAGTTCCTTCGTTTACCCGAATATAGGTTATCTCAATTAGGACAAAACACGCGTTCTGAATTCCACTACTCGCTATTATCTCTTTCACCAAATTAATCCACAGTTGGAGGTGTTGTGCTATCTGAGCCGGATATTTTGACCATGAAGCTTTGGTTGTTCTTCTGAACAACACTATCTACTTCAAACAATTGAACAGTTAGGATTGTCCCACCATCGACTAACAACTTGTTCTGCTGACCTTGAATTGAATGAGCTATGATCCATTGTTTACATTTGCACTTTTTCTAAGATAACCTTTGTTTATTCATGCCATTTACATGAAATTTTTCAAGAAAATGTTTTATCTGTTGTTTTTCCTTTAAATTCATATGATTTATTAGATATATTTACATTTTCTTCAGATCTAAAAAATGCTCCTGATAAGTCGATCCAGCAGCATGAGCTATCTCCACCTAAAAATTTATTCCATTGTGATTACTGTACTTTTACGTGAGTAAATTTAATTTGTTCTGTGAGAAAATTATTCAACCTTTTTTTAAAACGAAAATTCTCGTTTATTTTGTGTTTTCATCATAGATATACACTCTAGGATTTTGGGATGCAAGTACATCCAACTGAGTCCCAGATAGGATAGAATTCGCGTCCTGCATTTTACTGCTAACCATCATCCATCTCTGCTTAATTTGTCTAGTTTGGCCCTTATTTTTCATGAAAATATCTAAACTAGTCAGTATATGATCATGTTGTTCGACAAGTTATTACGCCTATAGATATCACATGGTTATGATCATTTGACTTCGTCTTCTGATTGGATTGTCTGCAAATAGGTTGTTTGGAATAGTAGTTATATAAATTAAATTGTATGGCATCTATGTGTTTATATAAGAGTTTGTCTTGTTTCTAAAATAAATTTAGGATTTTTTTTATTGAACGTGAACTTTTGTCAGAAAATAATTTCCATTAGCTTCAATACTTAACACGTTACATCCAATAATTGTTCATTTTTTAGTGCCTAAAATGTTATTTAACCAAAGTATTGGTGGGGTATATACATCTATTCCGTATTTTGAACATTTTGTCATTTTATGTTTAGTTCGCTCTCTCTTTCATTTATTTCTTGTGGTATTTTTGCGTTTACCCTTCAGCTCTTATTATTACTACCATTGTCTGCATTCTCTTTACGCTTTTCTCTTGTTGCTTTCAATTTGCTGTGTCGAGATTAAGTGGAACAATGTAGATCGATAGTTACTTATCCCATGCCTTAAGCTGTATATATTTGCTAGTCTTATATGCTTTCTGATTGTAACTAATGCCTTTAGCTTAAGTCTTTGTATTGCATTAATAAGTGGTATTATCAACTACATGTACTAACACTATACTAATGGTCTTCTAGTTGATACATTTTAGTTTCATATATTTAATTTAATCTAATGTTTAGGAGTCATGTGCAAATATGTAAATTAGAAATGAATCACATATCTGATGCGCAATCATCAATGTAGTACAATGATTTCTTCTTGTACTTTCAGATACCTTTTGTCTTTAATTTGGTTGTTGTATTCAATAATTTAATATTCAAATTGTTTCGTTGAAGTATTATCATTTACATGTTAGGTAAATTGTTGATTTTATCTTATCTGTTGCTACATTTGAAAATGCTTGTTTAAGGACGATTAATGATATAACTCAGCAAATAAGTTCTATTTTATCTATTTATTTATTTCAACACATAAATATTGGTACAAGAGGGCACCAAATATATATGCGTCACACCATATTTGTGTGTGTGTGGGCTGTGATTCTGCCCGGGCGCCCAGACCGAAACAGGTGGTTTTCTTAGGGGACCACACCCCGAGCCTTTGACCTAAAGGTCTGACCCACAAGGCAGTGGAGCATCGTAAGGAGATGCATTCCCATGGTAGCTGGTGACCAAAGATTGGTTCATACACCATTTGTTCCCGCAGGATACTGGAGCCCATGTGCAGTATTGGTTTGAGATCCGGTTAAAGCACCGGACATTCGCTTTTCGTCCTCTCATTTTCGTAAACAACACCCCCGCCACGAGAAGGGAGTGAGTAGGACTTCCCTGGCAGAGGCTGTATACGCATGGCCATGTGAGAGCATTTCGAGAGGGGGGGGCGGGCCCAGCCCACTGTCGGTCATACCAGAGCATTTGGGGGCTGTTGTAATAATTTAATTTTATGATATTATAAATTATATTAATATATTAAGTTGTTAACTAGTGTGAAGTAAAATTCAATTTAAATTGTTTAAAGTTTGACTGTTATTTGGCGTAAATAAAACTTACACAAAATTAATATCTTTTGATATATTTATTTGAGATTTGTTCACTACATAATAAATTATCATCTATTATCTTTGCCTTCGTCCTTATATCGAGCCATTTTAGCTTTTGCTCATTTAATTAAATTAATCAAACATAGCCTAATTTCTTGAATTCATTCAAATATTATGGTGACACAAACTTCGTAACTGGAGAAAATTATTGTTTAAATAACTGTCTGACTTACTGTAAGTAATATTTTCTGTAAATTAGTTCACTTAACCTTGATAGCTTTTTCATATATATGATTGTATTTGTAAACATGCTTGCATCTTCTCTTGAAGGTTATTTTGCTTATCATATTTAATGTTCATCAAAAGAATTCCTTCACTGTAAAAATCGTAAGTGCAGTTCGTTTTCTTTAAACTTGGTGAATTATAGTTGACTGGTTAGAACAATGCGTAATAGTAATTCAATGTCTGTTGTTTCAAATTGCAGCAAATAATCGTTTCTTGTCTGTTTCGGTGTTTCTAATGCAAAATAATTTGTGTATCTTATTTATCTATCAAGGTCTTCGAATTCCGATCGTCTTTTTCGACATATAAATTCACGGCATTTATCATCGCTTGAGCATGATAAGGTAAAACCTTCATGCCTTCAAGTTCATCCGACATCTTTATCCGATATTTCGAATCAAATTATTATCACATCTGATTATTCTTCGTCATCGTCATCTTCGTTTTCGATTACTAATTCCACTTCATCGTTACCGGTTACTGATTCTACTTCTTCAAACGTATTTGAAACAACAGTATCTAGTAAGTCCACGGTTTAGTTGTTCCCTACTCAGCAAATGTATCAATATCTACTTGATAAAAATAGGTCTTTGTTAAAGTAATTTTATTAAAATTATGTGCAACGCAAAAATCAACCTTAAAATTCACGTGCTTCTTATTAGCAGTGGCTTAGTGGTTAAGGTGTTTGATTTTCAGCCACGAATTCCCACGTTAAACTCCACTCCACCTACTTCAATTTAAGCAATCTAGTAGTATAATTAGCCCTCACATTTAGGGCGCGGCTCATACATAAGTACCTGTTAAATGAGTTAATTAAAATTAATCAAAATTAGATCTTATTGATCAGTAAATTACACTTTTTCAAAATCATGAATTCATCTTTAAAAACAAGTATTGAAATTTAGATATGTATAATGTTGTTACGTAGCTTATTTGTTTTATAGTGTTTGCAGTTTTTTTATTATATTGAAGTAGATTATTTTCTCTATAAAGACCAGTAAATGTTCTGTTCCTTTAATGGGTCATAAACATTTTTACAAATAATTCCACATAGTTAACGCGATATTCGTGTTGGGCCACTATAAATAAAAGTCATGCAAATGGTATTCCCGAATATTCCAAGGAATCTATTTTACTTTTAATCTGTTATTCAGTACATCAGTAATTATATTTGTTGGTTGACAGTTTAGTTTCAACAAAAGAATAAGGAATGAGTTCTTGTTAATTCATGTACAGAACATAATCGCTATCAGGAGTAAGTGTTTTGTGTAATCTTTTACATCTTTTCATTTTCACTGCATGATTACACAAAACATCTTTCACTAATCCTAAGTAATTTAAGCTCTTTACAAGGGTGAGATCCATGAGGCTATTCGCGAGATAGGAACCAATTAGCATTAACTTCGAAATTTCGCTCTAAAACCCTGAAGATAGTGTCTTTTTGTTGATTGATTCGAGAGCATAATATAGTTACTCTATTATTATCAATGATGATCATATTTTTGTTGTGTTAGTGATCATAGTAAATTAGGTCCCATGCCCAATCTAATATATTCAATTTCGTTCCACTGATTTTTGGCAGATTCATTTTAATTTAAATGCTTCACTAAATTAATAAACGGTTTATCACACTGTTTTTTATCGGAATTGTATTACAAGCAGGTTACATTCTCCTCTCTTTACATCTCTTCAATTTCTGAATTTGCATTGAACTTGACAGAATTAAGGACAATGTTTTTATACCAGAATAACATCTAAACCATATAGAGTAGAAAAAAATGTTTTCCTAAGAATTATGGTAGAAACTTATGCTAAATACATTGTCAGCTGAGAGAATAACTATTGTCTCCTGTGGTAATTTAGTGGTTATAAATGATTCAGTTGGTTTATCTCAGTCATTGTGTTGCCTGAGCTTTCTGAAGTTAATTGGTTGGAAGTCGAACCATCTAACATTACCATAACTCCAACTATTTTTTCCACGATCTCATAGGAGTTAGGGTTTTATTCATAACAAATCAACTACAGTCTAGGAATCACTTTCATAATGATTGTTATTGAAATGAAATTGAGAACATCGAAAGGCTCTATCTGAGTCACATTTATCTCATCTTATTCACTGTAGTTCAATATTTGTTATTTACACCCCAATTAATTTATGACTTCCTCTAGTGACGTGAATATTTCTGATGGTATGCCTTCAGTGATGAATTTCATGTGTTTCAGATACTTTCAAATTGTTTGAGCCGTGATAATAGTTGTTTTCCAATCATGTTAAATTCTAAGTTCAATCGATATTAAAGTTTTACAAATTTAGTAGCTTGTTCTTTTAGAACCCACAATTTCGTGACAGTGAAGAAAATAGATGAAGGTAATCTCAGCTACTTTATTCATGTATTAAAATAATTTTGTTATTCCTCTCTCATATTTATTAATTTTCATTGAATATCTAAGTGAATGATTGACTTTCTAGTAGTAATATAAATTCGCTTTCGTAGATCCTACTCTAGCGTACAAGTTAATGCTACACTGTTTTTATAAGCCGTTATGTATGTTTTCTTTATTTTGTCAAACTGATACCTCTATTAAGCACCTATTTGTATAATCTGAAATTTTTGATATACAAATCAGTCTTCCATGGACAACAATAAAGTTTGTATATTGCCGAAAAGTTTACTCCTGGATCTAATTTGTTTTCAGCATTGTATTTTCGTTTCTTGTTATTCATCAGCACCCATAAGGTTTTGTTATACTAACTCAATATGTTTGATAAAAGAAAAGGAATAAGTAAATGGATCTAAGATATAAGTTACTTTTCACACTTAGTTTGTTTAAGTGCATAATTATGAATATGTTTCTTTTTTATCGGTCGTCAGGGGGATAACTGATCTGTGTGGATAACGATGATTTGTAACGATTATGAAAGACCTCAGATTTCACGGGAATAATATTATCGCTGTACATGTTTTGATGTCTATGATCGATAATAATAATAATAATAATAATAATAATAATAATAATAATAATAATAATAATACTTATTACTATTATTATTAGTAGTAGTACCGAAATATATTCTTACCCTTGTTTTTGTTCAAAATGTATTAGGTTTAGGTTTTCCTCCAGTTTGCAACTTAGGTTACCTATTCCGCGCTATCTTACATAATATTCTCTGTCAAGTTATTTGATTTCCGAAAAAACTGTTATGTTCTATGTCCACATAAGTGAATAAAGATATGTTTCATAGCTATGGAATGTGACTATATTAAACTTAGTGTTTTATTTTTCTGTGAAATTTGATCTAGATACTCCTTCGACTTTTACAACTCACGATAATAATAACTATAGGTCTTGTAATCTACTTCCATCCGAATCGTTCCCAAATATACCGGTTACAGTTTGGTAAGTTGATATTGGTCTATTTTCGGAAAAAGAAGAATGACATCTTAATAATTATATATATTACGTAAATGAAAAGTAGAATGTTTTAATGCTATATAATAGTTCGTTTCCTGTCGTGCGAATAGCATTTTTCGCAAAAGTATAATACTACTTATGATATGTCAGGGACTGTTGTTAGGTTAAGTCGTTTAAATACATAGAATTACTTTCGTATAATGAATGATTTTTAATGACATCTAATTGTGAATACAGAATCAGTGTAGTATATTTATATGTCTAGTGAAATGCTTTTTTAGTTTTCTTTAATTTGACTATTCTGCTGTGTAGTGGGCTTAGTGTATACAATATCTAACAGGACAGATGAGTGTAAATAAGCTTGTTTAAACTAGTAAGAGGAATCTAGGTGTAGATTGTAACACGTGATGAAGTATACGTGACCAGAGAAATATCGGGCTATTTGTGCAGAGATACAAGCATTTTTTTACTGATCGAAACGACATCGTCTATTGAATAAGCTAATTAAAGTGCTTAGTGAAGTTAAAGGCGTACAAACTTAGATATGGATGAAGATGCTATAAACCACCCTACTGTCTGAACTGAATAACTCACTGAAGAAACGCTAGTTAGCTATGCAAAAATTCTTCTCCGATGATCGATTGAGAAGGCGAAATTCAAACAGCTGTACTTGCTTCTATAGATTTATATGACTAGACCTGTGAATAACTGGACCACAACTCAGTATTACTATGCAGGTGCAATATATGCAAAAATAAAGCATTGAAAATACACAATTGGAATACTACAGACATATATATCGCATGGCAGAAATTAATAGATAAATTGAATGTTCACAGTTAGTAACTAATCATTCAGAATTAAGCGTACGGAGATCTCCGAAACAGCTTAAAAAGTTTGTCAAATTTTATGCGTCTTTTGCACTGGAGTGATTGTTGATGCCAAATACTTCGAATATGTAAGCATCAATTATTTTTCACGAAGAAGCAAATTTAATATATTGACAAAACTTAGTACTTAATTTATGAAATAACTTATTTGGTGAATTTTATCTAGTTTATTTGTAATTGTTAGTCAGGCCTTAATTTCTATAAGTTTAATTGATTTCTTACTTCTAGTATAAATAAATCTACTTGTAAAAATTATTCACACAATACTCTATCAAAGTCGTCAAGTCGTCGAAAACAAAGTTTTCCATTCAAGATGCCGGCTGGTTCAGACCTAATCCAATTGCCTGTTGTTTATTCAAATAATCGTTTTTGTGATTTACCACTTCAGAGCGTTCAATTATCAGTGAATAATAAAGGAAGTACACTTCTAAATGAATCTTCGGGTTCATCCTATGCGTCTGGTAGTACATTAGATGATACCAGTGATGAAAAAGATTCAGTATTTTTAGGATTTACTCATATGGGATCATCACGGAAAAGGTTAGCTATTGATAGTGTGTTTGATATATTTCATTGAGAATGTTTATGAATTCATATGTATATTTTCTTATTTAACATATTTATTTATATTTTGCTTTAGATTTTTTTGTTAACTGTTTACATGACGTTATACTTTACAGAACGTGGCATATTTATAATCTTTAATCTATTGTATGCCTGTTAAATCTAAACATGCGCAGTTAAAGTTGTAGATTGTTTTACCTGCTCGGTATACATTTAGTTGTACATCTAATGAAGATCCCTTTAAGTCACAAACCTGAATTCGAGGTGTATAAATGATTAATGTTAGTGCATTTACTTTTCAACAGCAAAAAATTTTTAATGTACTTAACATGTAAGGAATCAACTAAAAAAACCTATACAAACAATTTATAATTAGTTCAATAAACAATTAACAGTATTCGAATGCTTGCTATTCTAATCATTTTTTATAGACATAGACTATTTCGGTATTCTTATCATACTTTGCTGAATATTTACAATATTTACTGAGATTTTTCTCAACAAAGAGTGTATTGTGTAGTAATGTAAATGTTTAAGATCAACTCCTTAAGAAAGTATAAGCTATCAGTCCGAAAAGTTATATATTTATCATCCGGTTAATCTCCTTTTTACTGATTCATAAAGACCTAAATAATAGTTGACTGACTATCTGATAAAAGCCAGTATACATGGGTTATACCACTTGTTATTAATAGATAAAAAGAGTATAACAAAGAAGAAAAGGAACACTCAAGGGCTGAGAAAATTCCAGGAGAGAAGACAACATTTTTTTTGTTTATTAGATATATACAATTCCATGTATATAGTAACCTATAACAAGCTAAGTAACGTAACATACTGAATAATAGTTATGTGGATTGTGTTCAAGTATTTCTAAGCTTTAATAACTATTGTTTGTATAAAGAATTTATGTGCTTCACCGATAGTTAGAAAATGATAAAGATTAACTTCTAGTTTTCATGTCTCAGTTTTGTTTTATAATGTTCTTTTCTTATAGGCTACATTCTCCGGAGGGTTCAGAAACAAGTTTATTCCATTCATCGAGTCAACAAAAAAATAGACATCGAAAGAATCGTATTACAAGTAATCGCCATAATGTATGTCTTTTCCCTTTTTTTCTATTTTCTTGAATGATATTTGTGTCGATAACTTGTTACCTACGTTGTGTTTATTGCCGTCTACTGCCAAAAATAGAATATAAACTGATATTCCACTTCAGTACAAAGTATTGATTGATGGTCGGTCCGTCATAATCTATGTTAGAGCCTGATATAAGTGTACGTTAGCCCAAGTTTCTACACTACGTTGGCACGACGAGATAAAGTTAACATGATAAATAGTAATCTGTTTGAAACAATGTGGTAGCAATCATCATAAGAAGGATTAAATATTAACAGCCTAGGAGCTTAATTGGAGTGCCCAAAGAGACGGCTGCTTGAAGCCAGTCACACACGGTCTTTATGTGGGTGGTTTTACACGTATAAACTCCGTGCTTTCAAACCCTTAACTCTTGGGACCAAAACCAAATTAGCTCACCTGATATAGTAGGACCTAAATGAACAAGTGTTCCAGTCAATATAGCTCAGTTAGATCATCACGATAGGTTAGCTCAACCATCACTTCAAGGTGGGAGCTACTGTCGGGTATTCAATGATAAAAATAATATATTTGTCAAATGTTGGCGGGATTCAATTTCAATTATTGCAGACCACAATGTTGTACTTGTTGAGATTTTTATTGGAGAAGTGCAATTACGAATTATGAGAATTAAACCAACATCGATTAGATTGAAATCCTGTTACAGTAAATTATTATTCAGTGGTAACACTAATCAGGGGATTTCAATACATTTTTACCATGATCCATGTTACCGGGATAAATACTCAGTTTGAAATATTCTGATCATTTTTTATTGATATATAATCGAAAAACCTGTTGTATTTCGTGTTGAGTACACTGGGTCAACATGAAAAAGCCTGGTATTTTCACTCTAGTAAATGGGCTAGGAAAAAGAAGTGAATATAAGCAGTTTTGTTTGAGATATTAAAGTCGGACTAATGAAATCATTAGCACAGTACACGAACGTATTAGATTTTGAATGCCAAAAACTTCAAATCAACCAACTTATTAATTATCTACATTTAATTTTTTTTTCAATTATATCGTTTTTCATACATAAATATTTTTGACCGTGATCATTATATAAAGTCTAATTATGCTGATTGTGTGGATTAGTTATGAAATGTTGTTTATTGTTTTTAGCAAATGATTCCATAATTGTTAGACTCATTATTGCTATTATTGCCCTTCTAAAAATCTTAAAAGTAGATATCAGAACTCATTTTATAGATTCAGTTATGTTTCAATGTAATATTTATAGGCGATTCCCTTTTATATTATTTTGTTAAATATTTGACAATGTATACGACGTCGGATAAGTGTTCAAAAAAACCATTCTAATCAATTTAAGGAAATTTCAGTCAGAGTATATTAGCGTTTGAACTTGATTGCTAAATCTCTACAGTCTAAAATGATATGCTTAATTGGTGTGTCTCTTTTCACGATATCTTTATGCATCAGCAAGAAGTGCAAGCCACTAATTATAGGGTTTTGTGAAATGTATAAAATGATTTTCTTATCTCTTTTTTGTATTGTAGATTTTCTATAAAGTGTATTTATAAGAAAACTTTCCTATATACTTTTTGTAGGTCACGTCATTAGTTGATCGTGGAAAGTCAATCAATTTTTCATCCTACATGACAATTTCAAAGCAAGAAACCAAAAGATATTTTACTAGTAAAGAGTCTACTCTTCTACCAGTAAACTCCTCTTTTCCACTACGTGATATATCAGTTACATTGGAACGTTTAAATGATATTCCGGAATACAGTCGTACTGATTCAGATTCATCTATTATAAATATAAGTTCCACCTCATCCGAATATTCTTACCAAGATACCCAACGTTTGACACCAGATAAAATTGAAAACCCTGAATTAGAAAAACAAAGAATGAAAGATGGGTTTTCTCTTTCTTATGATAATTTCAAAAGCAGCGAACAAGGTACTCTGTCACATAAACATAACGAATTAAATGAAGACTCTGAGCAAATTAAGAAACATCCATACTTAAATGAGCTTCCAGTCGCCGTAGATTCTAATCAAATTGAGATGCTTAAAATGTCAAATAATCGTCGCAGACCATCTGGTGCGAAAAAATACTCTAAACAGCTTGAAATTCCTGACGAGTTTTTAACTTTGCAGTCTCGAAGTGAAATGGAAGCTGATGAACTTCAAGTGGATATTTTGACAGGAGAAATATTTGTCAAGAACATACCTTTGCGGTCTCTAGTTACAGGTTTGAAGCGTCCACGATTTTACCAGTTAGAACTGGATTATAAAGTAAGACTTTTTAGATCCAGAGGTCATCATTTTGTAGCTAGTTATTTCCAAATAATTTATAGATTACGTTGTTTTTATTCTTTTCCGTTGCTTATTGTGAATATTTTTCATACTATCCTGAGGCTCGTTAATAATCATCTTGTTTGAAAACTACTAGCATTTCTGAAGGGGTTAGGGGTTAGACCCACTCACTGTTAAGAAGCAACGTTTGGAGATATTTTTGAATACTTATTCAGAGTTTCACTTTCAAATAGCTTCACATTATTTCATCACATTAAATATATCCCCAGTATCTACTGTCTTGTTTTTATTCCTGGACGTGCTTATTAATCTACACGTATTAATTATGGCATTGAGAAATATACTGGATCATATACTTGAGTTTTATTTTCTGATGTTATTTTTAACGTAGCGTAACCAGAGAAACACCCAGTTATCCATGACCCTTCTCCCTAGTCGGAACATATATGAAAACATTTTATGCTTTACTTAATCTAGTGAAATGATTAATATTTGTTTATCGCAAGACTTCATATGATAGCGGATGCCAAAATCAAATCCACAATACATTTGACTAATTTACTCATAAATTTATTTGACTAACCGTTTGTCGATTTTTCTCTAGCGCATGTATATTTTATAGTCATATAAGTAACTTGTTGATGATATTATTTCATCTTTTAATAGAAATATTTACCTCGAGGTGGTCGTAGTCAACCTTTTAGAAATTCCAAAGTTCAGCATCCTTTTTCAAATAATTCAAAAAATGTACACAAAGTTAACAGTGTAATTACAACAGCTAACAAACGATCAAACAAGGAAAAAAAGTAATCACTAAAGCTAATCCAAATAAATTTAATAATGCTCAAATATATTGTAATGTCTTATCATAACATTATTTATTCAGTTGTCATAATTTTTCTTTTTCCATCCTTCATTAATCAACAACTGATTCTGTAAATAATAATAATAACAAGAAGAAGAAGAACATTGTCACCGATGATAACAATTAACAATTCTATATTATATTTCTAATGTGTCTATAATTTCAGGTTAATTTATTTGTATGTGTAAGCATTTAATTGTGTTCTTGTTTCGTATTTTTGTATACTTTTTTATTTACTAATCCTATTAAGATTTCCATCTATATGTATATATATCCTAAATTCTTTTTTTGTTTACTTACTTTGTATATTCGTTGTATAAATTCAACAACAACAAAAATGTAGTCGTTTATTCTATGTTTTATTCAGTTCATTTATTATATTATATTAAAGTAACTAAAAATTACGTTGATTACACTGATTTCTATGAGTTTTTCTTTATTACAATTTTTTTTTTAAAAAAATTATTTTCCAAATAATCAGAGTTCATCGGCAAATGAATTGAGCTTTGATCTTTTAGTCTTTCAAAGTTAACTATTTATCACCATAGAAATAAGATAATAAATAATTTTATAGTTGATTTTTAGAAAATTAATTGAATATTAAAGAGTATTAGATGGATATTTTACGTCTTCCTTAGATTTTTTTTCAGGAAATACATTAAACTCAAGCTGTTCAAATTACCTCCCCCCCTCCTTAGTTTAGAAGAGATGAGAGTAAACTTTATAATTTAAACTTCAGTTGTCATGATTTTACACTTGATGTTAAAAATTATTTCTCATTAATTAATTAAATAGCTCACATCGTTTCATTTAAGTTTATGTTATTTCTTGTGTTATATGGTTTAAATTAATAAAATTGAATATGGCTATAAATTAACTGGAGACGAAAGCTCGTATCATCCTCAATACAAGTAGGTTATATAAGCGTATTATGAGTGCTTCAAAAATTTCAAGATAAAATTTGCTAGCATACCTAATTGCAGTTGTATATCCTACTATATTTAACATAAATCCTTCATCTTTGTTGTACTCTATACTCTATGAAAAGCCCTGATTTCTGAAACAATTCACAGTAGTCAAAGCGAATGATTTTAAACACATTCATTATTCTAATTCATAACTCGTAATAATACGGGTAGTACGTATAACAACAGTGCGCAATAACCCGTAGTTTTTGATTACCTTCATAACTAATACGTATTTTATATAAAACTACATAATATCTCTAGAATTAATTATTTACTGTTTTAGAGCGATTTTATCGGTGGTGACCTATTTAAAGATTTAGGATGCTTATTTTTCTGCTGCGCGTATACTGCAGCAAACCTTCCTGTTTTAAAATTTTGTTAATTCGAAAACCTGTAGGGAAACAGAACATTTATTGGGATATCTGCACCTTAGTTTATTCTTTAAAGAAACAAGATGGAACTGTGTTGAAAATCATTCATTTAAGGTGTGATGGATGAAAAAATTAAGTTGTACCAGCTAAGCTACGTAAAGAACTTTCGTAATTAATGATAGCTCATGCTGACTACTAAAAATATGAACACTTTTAATAATTAAAATCTGGATATTTGTCAACAAGGAATTTGTTACAATGTTGGATAGTTTAGAATTTCTTACTGTGATAAAACTTATGGTTCTAAGTAACGCAATTACTCTCGTATAAGACTGATGAGATGAAAGCTTAAAATTAAAAATGTTCAATCAGATCACTGATAATTCTTTGAAAATACAAATAACCTATCAAGTAATAACTACTGGAACTTTTGCTCTTTACTTTTCTTTCTCATCTCTTACTAACATTATCGATTTATATTTGTAATTTTTATGACTTAACTACTCTGACAATATCATGAACTAAGAATCTTGGTACACCGCTCGAAGACTGGTTTATCCAAATTCGTTAATTCTAAAGTAAAGAAGGTTTTTCCACTATCTTTATGTACTCTGTTCCTTAGAATGGTTAATTTTATAAATTTCGAGAATTTAATCAAGTTGAAAGTGATCCGAAGTGTGATTTGTGCCCAATTTGACCACACGTTTATTTCTCAATGCGTTTTGGATGAAAGCAAGTTAGTAGCATAAAAAGTGGTGATCGAGATTCCAAGAGAGCAAAATATGGCCCAACAGAGAAGTATCGCAAACTATATTTCATATAAGAGGTCTGAAATGTTTCTCAGAAAAATTACAAAACCTATGTAAAAGGCTTTTCAGAAGCGTTATCACATTTGATTTACTAATGATAAAACTTTTGAAATTTATAGTAATAAAAATGACGCTTGTAATTAGTCCAAGCAATCATGTTCTTAATTCATTTCATACTGATACAAATAATCTCTTCTACATGGTGTCAATCTGTGTCTCAAGTTTCGAGAAGTTTAATTAGCTATTCGTATATTGTGCAAGTGATGTACTCGCATTGTGCAAACCTCGTGGGTGGCAGTATGTCCTAATTGCTTACTTACGCCTATTACTCCTCGCGGAAGAGCATAGGCCGCCTACTAACACTCTATCTAACCCTGTCGTGGGCGATTCTTTTCATGTCTGTGTGTTCTTCGGCCTTCCTCTTCTCCGTCTCTCTTCAGGATTCCAAGTTAGTGCTTGCCTCGTAATGCAGTTTGGTGATTTTCTCAATATCCTATCCATTTCTAACGTCTTTTCCTAATTTCCTCCTCAGCTGGAACCTGGTTTTTTCCCCCATATTCTGTTGATGATGGCACATCCGGCCAACGGACATTGAGTATCATACGTAGATAACTGTTCATAAATACTTGTACGTTTTGATGATGGTTGTAGTAGTTCTCCAAGTTTCAGCTCCATACAGTATAACTGTCCTGAACTTCGCATTCAATATTCTGACTTTGATATTGGTTGACAGTTGTTTTGAATCCCATATGTTCTTCAATCGTAGGAATGCTGTCATTGCATTGCCAATCCCCACTATTACATCTGCATCAGATCCTCCTTGTTCATTGATGATGCTACTCAGAGAAGCGAAACTTTCCAACTCTACTAGAGTTCCTCCATCAAGTGTGACTACGTTGGTGTCCTCCTGTCGTACTTGAGGACCTTGGTTTTTCCATGATCAATGTCGAGGCCTGCTGATACAGAGGTTGCTGTTACATCGGTTGTCTAGTTCTGCATTTGTTGATGTGTATGGGATAGAAGGACTAGTTCATCTGCGAAACCCAAATCGTCTAGTTGCGTCCGGCCTGTCCGTTGTATTCCGTGCTTCCTGTCAGATGTCGATGTCCTCGTAATCCAGTCAACTACTAGAACAAATAGGAAGGGTCAGAGTTGTCAGCCTTGTCTGACTCCGGTCCACACTTGGAATGCATCTGTCAGCTGCCCTCCATGCATGATGTTGCAGTGTAATACATCGTTTGAATCCCATATGATGATTTTATCCGGTAAACTACGGTGTCGAAGATGTTTCCATAAAGTCCTCTTATCAACACTGTCGAATGCCTTCTCATAGCGATGGAACGTGATGTACAGTGACGAGTTCCATTCAGTTGATTGTTTAATGATGATCCGTGGTGTCTCGATTTGGTATGTGCACGACCGATCTTTACCGAATCCGATGTGTTGATGTTGAAATTGAGCGTCCACTGAGTCTTTCATTCGGTTCAGCCACACTGTTGAAAACGTTTCCTGGTACTGATATTGGTGTGATGCCCTTGTAGTTCTCACGTTTGCTCAGATCTCTTTTCTTTGGTATCTCGATGAGGTGTCCTTCTTTTCAGTTCATCGGCATATGTTCCTCCTCCCAAATCTTCATGAATAGAGTGTGAACTATGTTTGCAGTTACTTTCATGTCTGACTTCAGTGCTTCGGCTAGTATATTGTCAGGTCCTGTTGCTTTCCCATACTTGGTTTTTCTGATAGCCATCTTGATCTCTTCGGTCGTTGGTGAAATGACATCTATAGGAAGGTCTGTGCGTGTTGCTTTGATATCCGGTGGATTTAATGCAGCTGGTCTATCCAAGAGTTCCTCAATTTGTCCTACCCATCTGTCCCTTTGTTTTTGAATCTCAGGGATTGGCCTGGCTTCTTTGTCCTTGATTGATGTCTTTGGTCCCTGCTAGTTCCTTTGCTGTGTCACATAGTTGTTTCATATTTCCATCTCATACAGCTTCTTCCACTTTCGTTGCTAGGTCTTCGATGTATTTCTGCTTGTTGGCCCTGATGCTCTTCTTCAGTTGCTTGTTTACTTCTGCGTATTCGTCTTGTGTCTTGACTTTCTTTGCCCTTGTTTGGCTGTTGTTAAATGCTGTCTTCCTGTTCTTCTTTTCTCGAATCTTGCACATTGTTTCGGTAGAAATCAGTTCTTTATCATGATGCTTGTTGTGGGTCAGAACTTCTGACAAGTTGAAGTTAGTGCTTCTTTGGCCTTTTTGCAGTTGTTCTCTATAGCAGCTTCTTCGTTCAGTAGATCCTGTAAGGCTTGGAACCTGATGTTGAGAGTTATCTGAATTGGTTGAGTTTTTCAGTATGTCGAAGGAATTCTGTAGTGATCCTTTTAATGCTGTGCGTTCAGTCTTCTAATGCTTCTTTGTCTTCAGTTTCTTCTTGGCCATAACCAGATGGTGGTGACCTGAAGCTATTTCAACTCCGTTCTTAGTTCACACATCTCCCATTGACCTGAATTTTTTATTGATACAAATGTGGTCGATCTGGTTCTACGCCGTGTGATCCGGTGAGATCCATACAGCTTTAACCATGCGTTTGTGTGAGAATATTGTTCCACCTATAACCAATTTGTTGAATGCATATAGGTTTGTAAATCCCTTCTCATTTTCGTCCCTTTCTCCTAGTCCATGTCTTTCCATGATATCTTCATATTCGATGTTGTCCATCCCGACTTTTGGGTTTAGGTCCCTCATCAGGATGGTGAGATCCTTTCTTGGGTACTTCACTATGATCGATTGCAGCCTCTCATTGAACTGATCTTTCATCAAGTAATCCCTCAATAAAGCTAAACATGTTTTATGATGGTAAAAATAATAAAAGTATAAGGTTGGGAATAAGTATCATCTGTAATTAATAATAATCATTCAGTATTAATTACACTAATTCACAATTCTAAATTTACCTTACAAAATAATAGTTTTACAAAGGTTTTCATAAAATCTAAACACAATTCAGGCCTTTTTCAACCTAGACAACATATCTTAATCCTATGGAACATTCTCAAAGGTATTAAGAACACTGATTGACAAATTTTTCATTATATATTTGAAAGTGAATGATATACAAACAATTCAAAAATGATGAAATTCATCGAACAATATAAAAATAAAAGAGAGAAACTACTTATTTTCTAGTAAACTACTAAATGGTATAAATGGTAGTGTCATTACTTTACCTGTTCATTCTCTATATAAGAAATTAATTTATTATTTAGAATAACAGTCAATCATTATGCTTGCAACAACATTGTTTCAATCTTTTGAATATATTAAATTTGATTATTGCATGGACAGTTATAATCGTAGCTGAAATAATATTACATAATCCAGAGAATAGAAATGTATATGCATAGTTTTCAGTTTGATCTTTGATTATACCTAAGCGTAAAAATAATAATAAAATAACAATATAGGTCTTATAATAACAAATAAGATTTATTATAAAATTCTGTAAACATTTTATAGTTAACAAAATAGAAATTTTCATGTCCACTAATTCAGTGCTGTGTTGATGGAATATTTTTTAGTATGAAGAACTCATTAATCGTTTGAATATTACTATCGAAGACTGTAACGATGATAAAATGGTTCATCTTATGTCAAGTACCACTTACAATTAATTTTGTGCGAGAAAGGAATCCCGTGTCATGCGACAGGTCACCGAAATATAGCTAATTCTTATGCCTATTTTCGAATTAATCACTAAGGGATTAGCTTCTGTATCTTTATAGATTTTAAGCTTTCGACCAATATATAGTAAAACGAAAAGATACTAGTTCTATATATTTACTGAGACTTAATCAATTTTGTATTGAATCACGAAGTTATTCTTTTTCAACTGTCTGATATTTATCGGCTAATCTACCCACAGTTTCATAACAGTAAATGAAATTTTAATTTTGACATGTCGATGAGCATTTATAAGACGAAAAACTATTGTAAAACTAAAATATAGTACTCCATGATAGTTCGTTACACTAACGACTAGTAGGTTAGGCAAATTAATGAAAATGTTTATAACCACAGTTCCATCCTTCAAAGACTCATACATTAATACGAGTTTTATAAATGTTACCAAGTGACGATTGTTAATGGGAATAATATTTATCCAAAATTGGTCTATTCAGTTTCATACATTAAATTATCTCATACCGCTTGGTTCTGTAGTTTGATCTTTTCACACTTGGTTATTCTTTAGAAAATGAAAGGAGATGGATTTTCGTTGTTTATATATCTTAAAAGTTAATGACAGGTTTTTATTGAAGGTCATTTGGATGATGAACTAGCTTTATCTAGACCAAAGTCAAGGGAATTTAAGTAGTTTGAACTTCCAATTTGAGATAATCGGATTCCTCTCATACAAGATTCGGTAGTATCTCATAAATTACACAAAATTTTTACTGAATAATAATAATAATAACCATTCAAATAATTATGAAATAATTTGTTTATCCTATTTCATGCTACTTAATAATCTTAAGGTAGTATAATAAAGGTGAAGTTAAATGGTTGTGTGATCTAATAGTATTTTCAATATTCTGTTTATTCACTTGAATGAATAGAATAATTTTACTTTAAGCTAATCAAACAAACAAAACGTAAATCTTTTAAGAAAATTTTTCTGACTAACCTCCTAGTGGTCCACCAATTAAATAACCAGTTGCCTCAAAAAAAAGAACCATAGATAAACTTCTATCTACCTTTTTGTCACCCATAATATCAATAACCATTGCATGTGAAAATGCAAAACTTGGTCCTACAAAAATACTATAAGATATGCCGTAGGCAATTAAAGATGAATATGTTGGATAGAATGGCATAATAATGGTGTGTATCGATATAATAAATAAACAAGCGGCTGAAAGGAAACGAATATCTAATTTTCTCGAAAAATGTCCAATAAGTCCAATTGCTATTCTGCTTAACATATTTGATAATCCGACGTAAGCAAGTAAACCGTTGGCTTTTTCCTCCTTCAATCCACTGCTTATACCAAAATTAATGAAATGACCATATAGTATGGAATCAGCCATATAACTAAAAGAACGATTGATGAGGAAGCTAAGAAAAAGAATATTTTTCAAGCTAATGAACGACATTCTCCTTTTCTTTATCTCATAACCAAATGAATCTCCAACTTTCTCATCCTTTATCTTAGAAATCATTAAGTCAACAGCTTCTTTAGGCTCGTCCACTGAAGTTAACGATAAAAGTCTAGTTCTGCCAGGCAAATCTTTACACTTGTATAATGGTACCATGACAGCTTGACTTTGGTAAATGGTAGTTCCACTTCGTATCATTTGATCAATATATCCTCGAGACTCATATGAAAGTTTTGGATGATCCAAGTTTAAATGTGAATTCGCAAAATGGTGCTCAGATGAAGTTATTTTATTTTGTGAATTATTGTATGTAGATTCTTTGGTAGATGGCGTATTATCAGAGTTCCCATCTTCGTCAGTTTGATAATCGATTTCATTTTCTTCAAAAATTGTATCTTCAGTAGGCTTGATATTCTTTAAAGCATAAGAACGATAATCTGATGAGAAATTCGGATTCATCGAATCAATACATTTTTCCTCTACAATCACAGTAAGTGGCTTTGGATGAACCAACAGACTTTTTGAAGTTAACTCTTTTGAAATTTCCTCTACCTTGACAAGAGCACGTTTAATAACTGCACTTATTAGATTTTCAGTGTATTTAGTATCATGAGCTTGAATTACGCTCGAAGTAAATGAATCACCAAAAAATGGTGTTGTTTTCTTCTTTGTCTGAGCCATTGTTATTGCAGCTGTAGATTTATTTACATTAGGTGTTTGTTCCACACTTGCTTGAGAATTGATAAATGCAGTTGATCCCGTGTGAGTAACATGATCAGTGAATAATTTATCGATTCCACTTAAACGACTATCAACTAGGAATTGTGACTCTGGTAGATTAGTTTTAAAGTCGCTCAGCTGATCACATACTAAAAATATGATTGGAAGAAACAGAGTGAGACTGGGATGTGGGATTACTTCTGGCTTAATATTCTCCGCGTTGTCAAAATAATCATCAACTATTGTCTGAATTCGTTCTAATAAATGTGGTTCTGGGTCGTTGATAAAATTGATTGGACTAACCGTAATCTGATTTGAATTAGTTTTGTCATAAGTAATTTTGACAAACTCCACAACACCAATTATATTTTGTCCGGTTATCCGTGAATCTATTGCCTCTGATGTATTTTTTTGTACAGTATTATCAATGCCGGTTAGTATACTGCCACCAGTTGTACTTATAAATGATTCATATGTATTTGGTGGGCCTGTAACAGATTTTAAACAAACTGTAGACGCTACTGGATCGTTAGGTAGTAAGATGACGGGTTCTTGAATTGGTTCAAGAGGTAATGGTTTGTGTAATAAACTTAAAGGAATAACATTAAGATGGAATAAAGCTAATGAAATTAAGGCCATACGCCAGGTATAATTTTCAATCATATAATTGCATAGTAGAGTATAGAATAATGTCCCGAAACCGCCACCGCTACTACAAATAGCCAAAGCCAATATTCTATACCGATCAAAGTATCCTGCCATGATGGCTATAATACGAACAATACTGATACCCATTCCGACGCCTAAAATAACGGAGATAAAGGAAAGACAAAATGGTATATTTCAATAATGTTGAGAACACAACAGAATGAACTTCATTCAGGAAAAAATGGCTATATGAACATAACTTGAAGATCTATCACACTTCATGGAGTATAGGTCTCTAGTTTATTATAGGAATAAGGTTAGCCTTAATTAGATGTCGAGCAAAAATGTTTCCATAGATAGTTATACTTTAAAACGTAATCATTTTTTTATTGAAGAAGATGGTATTTCGAGCATCATTAAAATTCATTAATGACTTAAATCAAGCCTAAGTGTTTTCGAATTTGTCAACACCATAGACCATTAACTTTGTTACGTTATCTTTTTAGAAAATGAATTCAGAGTAGTTACTCACACTTAAAGGATCATGGATGGTGTAACAACAGTAGTTCGCATGTGACATCATAAATTTGATCAGTAAAAGTTGTAATTCATAATAAATGTCTCAAACCAAAGCAATAAATGTAACTCACTTGTTAGGTTCAATTTTATGAAGTTAGATATAAGCCTGACATTTTATGTGTTAACTAATCATATTGATCGATTGGTAAAAACGTGATAGAACGAGTGACGTTGGAGGCTTAAAATTAACAGTTGAAAATCAAATGCTGTATTCACTAAATCATTACTCCTCCATGTAGTTAATAACAGCACACGATACAAAGGCTGAAGAGTTTTACTCTTTCTTATTGCTACCTATAGTGATCTACATCAAAATACCAATGGTTCATACTGAAAATACAATTTATAATTATAGAATAATGTAATGCGTTGATTGAATAATGTCACCCAGCAAACTATAAATTGTAAACACATTGTAACTTATCATTGTAATTTACATTAATCACACATCACTCAATTCATAATCTTCAATGATTTAGTTAAACTAGTAATTAATTGAAACACTTGTTGTTAGTATAGTCTTAAATGAATAATATATGATACATTTTAGGATAAATTTAGATCTGAACTTTAAAATTAATATCTATCTTGTTAGGGAAAATCCATCAATTATTTGAAAGTATAATTAACGTTATAGATTGTCTTGAAAGACTGTTAATATTTATTTCATATTTCAATTAAGCGTTCGCGCGCGAGACCGGAGGCCCTGTGTTCGGATCCCGCGAGCGGGGTCGTGGATGCGCACTGCCGAGGAGTCCCACAATAGGACGAAACGGCCGTCCAGTGCTTCCAGGTTTCCAAAGGTGGTCTAACATCAATCGGTTCATGATCTCAATCAAAAACCTAATAATCTCCACAACACCTATACAAGTATTATAATGATTTATTTATGCATATGATGATGAGTATTATCGAGATCTTGAAAAAGAGATGTATTTCATTTATCGTAATAATGAAATTCTCTTTAACTGAAATAGTTGGTGGAGCTCTACTCAATCTTCAAAATACATTTTTCATGAATGTATTTACATTTTTGGTCACTGATGAATAATAATGAGTAGAAACATAAGCAGTAAAATATACTTTCATTTGTAAAGAAATTCTTTAATAAGTGTGTTTAATTAAAACAGAATTAATTTACCTCCAATTAAAGTATACGTTATTAAAAATCCCCAATAACTATTAATGAATACTGAAGCAATCATAGCAATACTGGTTATCATCACAGCAACAATAGTAGCACGTTTAGTGGCTACTACATCCAATAAACGATTATATAATGGTGCTAAACATTGATGAAAAAAATTCAATTTTAATTAACAACAGAATTGTATAGGAGAGTAAATAATCAAAAACAAAGCACTGAGATATAATTCGATGTGATGTTAACACTTGTGAAGTAAATCACACCATATGATAAAACGAATAAATGATGAATTGGATTGTAGTTTAATGAACTAGAAGTTTAATATTTGGCAATAAAGTGGGGGATTTAATTATCACTGTACCTATTTTATAATCGGGATATTGGGTTAGTATGAATTATTTTAAAGATTATAAATAAGAAAAAGCCGAGGTTTATTCTCAAGCTAACGGTAAACGTGTAGACTGTTTCGATGTCACGGCGCGTATATCGGAACATTATGTTGTGTACCAAAACTGAAAGTTATTATTTTCTATTGACTATGTTATAAATAATTTCACTCAAAGAAACATTTTAATCTATTTAACTAATGCTGGATTATTAAAACTACGATTTAACCTTTACAATTTAATGACATAATCTAGGTTTTAGGTTTTATTACTCCTGAAGTAAAGCAAATGGGTATAATGCTTATATAAGTAATATGTTGTAAATTATTTACAAGATTATCAGTTTGATCTATATATGATATCTATTTTCTAAACTAACCAATTTTTCCTACCTAAGTCCCTACTAACATTGTATCAAACTACTCGATCTGTAACTAATAGATTCTGTCAAATACATTATATTATTAAGTCTATCAACTATAATTTAATGTCAGAAAGTTTGTGTGGATATCATAGTAATTTCAGTGGTTGAGATCATGAGTCAATTAAAGCTGGACCACCATGGAAAACGTGGAAGCACTGTACGACCGTTTCGTCTTATCGTGGGACTCATCAGCAGTGCTTATCCACGACCTCGCCTCGCGAGATTCGAACCTAGGACCTAGACCACTGAGCCGGCATCCAACGGTGTTAATGTCTGGGGTGTCCTACTATAGGACGAAACGGCCGTTCAACGCCTCCAGGTTTTCCATAGGAGTCTAGCTTCAATTGACTCATGATCTCAACCATTGAAATTATTATAATTTAGTAGTTACATTTATCGATTTTTTAAAAATACAGTTTGCAGAGCCAAATGAAGATATAATGTAGTTATTTATATGAATATTAATTATATTAGTAACTTGATCTTGATGTAAACTCAATTAGTTAACTGTTTAAAGTTCTGATTTAGATTAATAAAAGAAAACAGGTAACAAATGTCTAAGAAATTGTCGTGTAAGATATAATCTGATAGTGAATGAGGTCACTATGAAAGATGAACTATAAAGTCGCATATCCTTTTGATGAATAGCTATACAAATAACTACCAGTAAGGGAAAAAGTTCTTTTCTGAACTTGGAAATCAAATTAAAATTTTTCAATATAATCAAATAACTAAACACCTCACATAATCAAAACTTGAAAAAAATCATTTAACAAAAGGAAATTTTTTAACCAATTTATTTTCGTATGAGTTTCCTGTCAATGAAATTTTATAAGGTAACACACTGTCCACTGGTTAAAGGTCAGTGAAGTAAGATCATTTTTCCCAGTCATTTCGATAACTACGTTTAATAATTTTCATCACTTCAATTGTCATTAAACATAATTAGATGAATCTTAAGTACATATTAAGAAATGGTGCCGATAAGAAAAAAATGAACTTAATGAATCTGGATATGTACCTTAACATTTCATAATACATACCTAAACAACATGTTATTGCAAATTGTCCAGTCATAAGCCAAAATAAATAACTAATTGAAACTTCTAATGCTTCTTCTAGTCCAGGGTAGAATAGAGCACCAACATTAAGTATACCATAATGGCTTGCTATCATAAGGAATGCGCATATTTCTTTTATCCAAGCTGGACGACGATCTATGCATCTTTCTCGTTCAGAGAGTATATCTATCGGATTTTCTGTTTGGAAATGCTTCTGAAAAATTAAAATATATAAAAAATAACCATTTATAGGAATAAATTAAGAAGCTGTTTATGTATAAATAAAATATCTTTAATTGATAACAAATGGTTTATTTCAAGAGTATTGTCCTGTTACTATTAAAAACCAAAGTTTAATGGTTTAAACAAATTGTCCAGTGAATTCTAGAAATGAACAATTCTATTAGTCAGTACTGAGTATTCATGGTTGATGTTTAGGATGGAACCAATAGTCAAATCCCATGTAACTTTACCAAATAATCTGATGAATGGAATGAAAATAATGTATGTATTACATATTATCAGTGATCACTCTCTTTGATGATTCTGATTTCCTAAGAATACAGTACACGATGATCATTTGTATAGATGGAAAGATTTATCCACAATCTCCAAAGAAAAGATCAACCATTATTTATATTATTCACTATTCATATTAGTGTGAAAGTGGTATTTTGCTACATGCAATTATACGAATAGTTTAAATTACATCTGACCTTGTACTAGAGTCTGTTAGATTGTTTTATAGCGATCGATCAATATCAATTTACAAATTAAATAATTATAAACAAATTAAATCTTAATTTTGGGCTTTCTTTTAATTTAGCTTTAACATAACTAATAAAGTGTGCTGAAGATTTAGCTTGTTATTCAAAGCATGCCATGCTATATATATATATATAAACATATTTTGTGATTACTGGCACTCAGTTTTAAGTTATTTTCAAAAGTTGAGAAAAGAGAAATGCCAAATGAAAACTAAACATTTTTCATTCTGAATATTTATCTCAAATTTCTATCCAGGACATTGACTTTTTATAAAATCTAGTTTACTATTAATAAGATAGTCTATTAACAAAATTTTCTGTGTTCTGTTCATTGCATTAGAAATAGAATAGTCAAATGAGAACAGTCACCAGTAAAACATTATTACATTCAAAAATTCATTATAATATCCAAGGTTAGGCATAAGGCTTGAAGAAGCTCTAATGACTGGCGTCAATAAATAAGGTATGGCTGGATACTCAAGAAAGACTATGGTTAAGATGAAATGTTTGACTTTAGTATGTTACCTAATAATGATTCGTTAAAATTAGTAAATCACTACTACTGGATTTATGAAAATCGTTAATGATCACGTGAAAACATTCGAAACTCTGACACTATATGTATATAACTATTATTTTATAAAGCTTATACTGTTATTTTGAGAAACAGACAATAAAATGTTTAACTGTCTTCCTTACTCTGCTGATGATCATCAGTTTCTGTTAGTAGCATCGGAGAAACTAACCACAACAACTGAAAATGGAGTAACCGAGCAAAGCCGAGCTTAGAAAGTAAACATATTTGATTTCGGAAAATTACAATATATGACATCCTTGAAAACATTATTAAAAAATAAAATCTTGGCCAATATACCACTGAAAGACATGGATAGTTAAAAGCTATTGATGTTTAGCAAAGCAAGTGTGATTTAAACATTACCGATTTAGCGCTGAGGCGATTAATCGTTTATGTACACTTATTCAACATAGAAAACCAATGATGTAAAGCTCACATAAGAAAAGTCAGTGTCTATCTTTTAGATCATTTATCGATATTTAGGTAACATTACTTACTGGTGGATACAAGTTAACTTCAGTCAGTCTTATAGTTCAACCTCATCTTTATTATCAGTTAGAAAAAAGCATATCTGCATGAATCTGTTTCTCTAGATTGAATATTCCATCAAACGAACCTAATCTTTCTCTAAACTAGAGACCAAATCTTCAGTAAGCGACACATAATTATAATAGTTAGATTTTTTTATCTACATTATATCGAGCCTTTTATTGTAATTGTAATGGAACTTAAATTATGTGTGTAATATGTTTACAAACGGTCATGTTTATTATAGTGAGATGAAAGATTTCTGTCCATATTTTCAACTGGTTTTGCTTTCCTGCAGTTTGGGTTGAAACGTCTAATACAGAGGCATTTATTTGCGTTAACTGGCCATCAAACTTCAGTTGACTGCAATAATACATTTAGTATAGAAATTTTGAATGCCCTTAAATGTGAGAGATTTATCTACCATAGTCAAATGTAAGCTTACTCCTAACTTTGGACTCTAGATAGTTAACTCCTACGATGGTGAAGAGTTTCTATACTATTACAAATCAAAGTGACCATATATTGCATCAAGTAGAACGAGTACTCGTTAGTGCAGTGTAGAAAAGATTATTAGTGTGTGTATTCAAGTACTTAACTATTCTTTTCTAATTAATCACAATTTGAATAGACGGAATATAAAAGGTGAATTTGTACTTTTATGCAATGAATATTTCAATGGAACTATTTACCTCTTTTCCTAAACTGCCAACCATTAAATCCAATAAGATATTGTTTTAAAACGAATTTCAAGTTTACATACAACAGTAACTTTTGCTAAATATAGTACATTTGATTTCTTAATAAACAGATGTCACTACTTTAAAGATGATTTTATTCTCAAACAATGATGATGAAGCTGTGGGTACTAGGTTTAAATGCTAATATGAATATAAGCACTAGAATGTAAATGCTTCATGTTGATAATTCCCGAATTGTATAAAACTTGCATTCTGTTATCCCATTGATAAAGATCTAGCAAAAGTATAATAAAATTTCAATGATTGAGATCATGAGTCAATTGAAGCTAGATCACCATGGAAAACCTGGAAGCACTGGACTGCCGTTTCGTCCTATTGTGGGATTCCTCGGCAATGCGCATCCACGATCCCACTCGTGGGAATCGAACCCAGGATCTTAACGCTAAACCACTGAGCCGGCATCCAACGGTGTCAATGTTTAACTTTAACTAATCTACGAAATTGACCGACGCATCCACCATTACTATCTCACAACTGACCTGGTTGAACTCCACTGGTCACTACTTCTCGCTAGAACTCCAGGAATACCTCTTAAAGCCAGTCACTAGTGAGTACATGTTGATTAGTATCAACTCCTAGGTTCGAATCTCATAAGGTGGGATCGTGAATATGCACTGCTGAGGAATCTCATAATAGGACAAAACAGCAGTCTAGTGCTTTCAGGTTTTCCACGGTGGTCTAGTTTCGATTGACTCATGATCTCACCTATTGAAATTACTACAATCTCTACAAAACCCCTTCTGATAATAAAATTTGTAGATGCATGAAATATTATGTCATATTTCAAAATGACCCAATATATCATTACAAACTAATATAATTTATTCCAAGATATCAATAACAGCAACAAAAACAAGAAACAACACACATTCTTACAACTAAAAATGTAGTCACTATTTTAAATGCATTATATTTAGTTTATGAAATATATTTTATTCCAGGTATTTTATTGTAGCAATTTTATTTAGTGAAATCTTCTCTCTTTTTTTGTTTCTTGATAAAATATTTTTATGATGTCACCTATTATACATTGAATAACCAAATCCAGTTAAATAACCTTTATTATTTTACGTATTTTATTGATGTTTGTTAATATGGATGGTATTTTTGATATTACAAACTGGATTACTTTAAGTACTATTATAATCGATCATTGGTGTGTATGGTCTATGAAAATACCATAGTAAGATACTTGTTCTTTTTTTTCTTCTTTCTAATCATTAGAACATATTACATTGAACACATTGGATGGAGAAAATGACTTCTTTTAAAATGATCAATGTGTCTTAAAAATGAAATCACTTTTACATAAAATGACCTTAAGTAAATTTGCACTAAAATAAAAAGAACATGAAATGATAGTAAGATATATTGGGTAAATTTTATTAATAAATTGATACTCTTCATATGAAGTATTTCTAATTAATAATTCAAATAAAATATACCAGAGTAATAATACAGAATGTAGCCGTGTAAATCACTGTAAAAATATTTTCTAGTATGATATATTTATTACTTATGATGTTTACAATTGTAGTATTTACTATTAATGTCAACAGGTTTAAGTAATATTGATTATCAATCGAAAGTGGAATGTCTGGCGACACAAGGTTAAGAAGATCGAAGTAATGAGAATAAGAACAGAGAGTGATTGATATGAAAATGAAAGAATAATCATGTTTAAGACAATTGATGGATATTTTGCAAATGAAGTATTTACTTTATAGTTTTTCAGATTTAAATAAGAGTTTCTGTAATTTCGTATTCAGAAACATGTGATTGTTCCCATTAGTGTTCTCGTTCACTACACTATAACTTAAAATATGAAATAATGGGAGTTTATTATCACTTTTTGTGATATGATGATGAGGTAACTGAAAGAATTATCCTATCCATATGGATAAATTAGAGTTAAGCTTCTATAGAAAAATAATTATTTGAATTTCTCTGTAAATGAGATATTAATGAAAATTATTTAACATGCATAATCATCACTCATATTTGTTAGTGAATTTGATAGAACAATACTAGAATATTCATATGGCTGATGTATCCAGTAGACCAAATATCTTACAAATCGAAAGTCAGATTACTTAAGAAAGTATATGTAGGTACTAACGGATGTCATCTATACTTTCCCTCATTTTCAGGCAATTTTTTAAGTTTTTAGTTTAGTAAACTAATTTATAATAAATTACTGACACGTTTTATTCGACGGAAAGCTACTAGCACCAAATTTAAATTTTGAGCTCCCTGAAAATATTTAACATAAGACAAGTATTCTGTAATGAGGAGTTATGAAGATTGCCATCCATATAAAGACTTTTTCGATTCATTCAAGATTAATGACTAGATAATATGACATTACTTACTTCTCGATGTTCAATTGATGTACAACCACGTAATATGTTTTATAATTTTCTCAGTAATATACTTATTGTTTGCCATACAGCTAATAAAACTTTCTAGACCATAGTTTAATTGAGACCTTAAATGACAGTCACTTAAAAGTCTAATTAATTAGATTTTAATCTTATGATTAAGTGAAGTGAAAACAGAATTTCAATTAACAACTGTCTGA